GAAAATATTTATAGTTGTTCGGATGAATGTAAAATAAATATAAGTTATTTTTTTATTATTTGATATGAAGTAAAAAATAAATGTAATGGAGAGCTCAAATAATCTATCAAAAAAGATTACAAATAATCCTTACTATACAAAAGAGTTTTAATTTTTTTAAGGGAGGGTGTAATTGCCCTCCCTCAGCAGTACACAGTTCCGCCCTTTTTACAGATCAAACATCAATATTTTAAGAATCCATATATTTGGAATAGTTGACATCATTTTACTTCAAACAAAATTGTCCCTTAAGAGAAAATTATATCAAAATAATTTGATGAAATTAATTCTTGTCAATCTTAAAGTAATTAATTTTTTCATGAAAAAATTAATGAATGAATAATCAATTAAAATTTATATTATGCTCATATTAAAATAAATCAATTAGATTTGAACGCGCCCTAATTAGAAATTGATCAAAATTTTTATCTATTTTTTCCAAGTAATTATCTTTATTGATTTTTTTAATAATTATTATTATAGTGAAAGGGTCATATTAGTATGATGAATTGTCTAAAATAATCATATATAGGATTGTATGACTTAATATTATTATGAATTAGTGAAAATTATCATATTAATGTGTACTTTAATATTATTATGAGTTATTCAAAATTATCATATTATTATTATTTGTCTTCTCTTTAATTTATATTAATAAGTAATAAAATATTATTATAATGTTATGAAGTTGAATATCAATATATCACATGAATAGTCAAGATTTTAAGTCTCATCCAAAATATTTATGATGATTAAGGCAAATTCACACACAACATATTATATATACAAGACTCGAATGCAAGACCTCTTGATTAAGGCTTCGTTTGAGACGGCTTTCTTACTGCTTCTTAAAGCACCTTTCTAGTATAAAAATAAAAAATTTTATACTAAAAAACTGCTTTAAAAAGCAGTAAGAATTTTTGGGACATTTAGGCCATTTAAGGCAAACTCACACACACAACGCATACACATAGACTCGAACCCTGAACCTCTTAGTTGGAAGCCTAAGCTCTCAACCAATAGGCCAAGGAGAGTTATGTAACGGATAAAATTTTAATAAAAAGTTTTATATTAAAGTGAAGCAGTTATAAAACTTTACATTAACATACTAAGTGCAGTCGCAATAGCTATAACATAGTAGATAAAAATTTTGATGCAATTAAATAAAAAATAATATCAAAAATACAACTATATCATTATAAAGTGCCTTAATTTGACGAAATCTATATCGTTATAAAATGTGCCCTTAAATTTTGCCGAGACTAAGGGCATCTCCAACCGAAACTCTAATTTTTCACTGCAAAATGCAGTAAAATCAAAAAGTGTCGTGATTTATCTCCATTGGAACGCCATTTTGGCCCGAAATCATCGTCGTTTCTTTCGCGCCTTTCTCAAACTGAGTTCGGTAGAGAGAAAGAAATGGCGAAAGTGAACAGTGGACGTCGCATTGTTCATCAGTGACTGAATGCCGGCAAAAATGGAGTTCGGTTGCGACGTCTGAGACTCTCCATTCGCCTGTTTGCCGAACGGCTGGAGAAGCTCTAAATCCATTATCAAGAAGAATAGCAGGTGTATTTTTGATCTGTATCTATAAATTCAGGCCATCAAGCTTTGCATTAATATTTAGCAGAACATATATAAAAATCAAGATCACATCTATTGAAAGCAATGTAATGCCTCTCTACATGTATGATTTATATATATATATGTAAGTTTTGGCAGTTATGTACCTGCCTCTATTATATTTAAAGTAATGATGTCAATTTTTTTCATCACACCCCAAACTTTATATTTAATTGGAGCATATATTTACATGCATACCAGGATAACTCAAATGAGTTCACTGAATATTTTTTGAACCATAAGAAAACATTAATCATTCTTATTAAAAAAAATGTTTCCATTATGTATGAGCATTTTGGGAATAAGTTTCAAATAAGGTTCAAATAAGAAGTTTAAAACTTCCAAACCTTATTCGATAATTTTGAATTGAAAATTTTTTAATTTAAATTCGGAACCATCTAAACATGTGTTCCAGCAAATATATAGTCAAAATGAATGTATTGAAAAGATGAACCCAACGATACCAAATTCGACTCAATCTGAGCCCATATGGGTCCAAATTGAGGCCCAGAAGTGTGGAAAGTTCAAACCATTAATTTGATGATCAATCGATTTCTAAATGTAGCATACTTATAATCTAATCAAGCAGCTCGACAAGAAAAATCCAATGAGCTATCGATCATCAAATTATGTTATCATTAAGATAAACAAATACTCGATATCGGCCGTCCATTCAAAACACTCTCAACATGTCCTTGATCTTTTATCTATTTACTAGTCATGCCACCCCCTGAAACTATAAATAAACCGCTCATTTTTCATTGAAGGGGCCGAGCAAGAAAGGGGAGGAAGAGAAATCAAATAATTCTTTTACCACCATACTCCTCCTCGACCACCGCCTAACCACCAACCATTGTTGGACTTCGTCGAGCCACCAATTTTCACCATACTTATGCCCGACCACCAATTGTCATCGAACTTCAGTCCGGCCACCAACTATCGTTAAACTTATGCCCGGCCACAGATTGTTGTTGGACTCTCGCCCGGCTATTGATCGTCATCAAACTATGGTCAACTCTTACCACCGTAGCATGCTAGCTACGATCCACTCAGACCATCATCATTTGAATATGGTCTTCCCGATATTTGTCACCCACCGACTACGATCATTTCGACCACTGTCGTCTGACTACGATCCTTCCGACCACCATCGCTCGGCTACGGTCTTTCAAACCACTATCGCTCGCACGTCGACTGCACTGTGATTCTTCTGACCACCGTCACTCACCGACTACTATCTTTCTAACCATCGTCACTTGACTACGATCTTTTAGGCCTACGTTGCCCTCCGACTATGATCTTTTAGACCTTTGTCGCCCACCGACTACAATTCTTCCGACCTACATCACCTGCTAACTATAGTCTTGTCAACCAAGAGAACATGTCAACACTGATTCTTCAAACTCCCACCATGTAATGAACTCTATACGATGTATATTTATTACATCAAGCCAAGACTTTCCCCCTAACGAAGGACCTCATTTGTAATCAATTGCAAACGCTAGTAAATTCATTCAAATTGGGCCAGGCCCCATGGCTTTTCTCCATTTTCAGGGATTTCCACATAAAAGCTCTGGTGACTCTTATAAATGCTACACCCGACTCTTTTATTTGATTATGTGTTAGATCTTCGTACAAAGTTAAGACATTAAACTTTATATTTCTCTATCGCCCGAATATTCCAGGACGCAACAAACTATTATTCAATCATGGTTCCAAAATACAAACAAACTTCAAAGGATATTTGATCGTGGTGAATATATTTTGATCGTTATTAAAATAAGTTTTGATTATTCTAGGTTTAAGGTTAAGAATGTACCTATATGAAATCAGGGCATCTCCAATGGATCTGCAAACGAGTGTTTGCCGTGCTCAATGTCGCTCCAACGGAGCGCTATTTTCTACGGCTTTCGGTCGCCAATAAACAGTGCGACGCTGTTCCCCCGCCAATTTGTTTTAATTATATTAGATTTAATTCAAAAAATCGATAAATAATATTAATGATTAAAAATATGTAAAATAAAATATGGAAAAGAATATACTAGGAATATTCTTTTTTTGATGTTAGAAAATGGAGTTCGGTTGGAGACAAGTTACTGCATTTTGGAGTGAAAAATGAGTTTTTCCGTTGGAGATGCCCTCACTAACCTTCAACGGCAAATGGCGGCTAAGCAGAGAAAAAAAAAATATAGAGATAAAAACATTGCTTTGGAACTTTGCCTCAAAATCATCACTTACAAACAATCGGAGAAGAAGGCACATAAAATAGGAGGTTCAATAAATTTTTTGCTTGAAAGATCGTTTGTAGAAATCGAAGCATCTCATCAAAATCCATAACATTTTTATCCAAAAGAAATATTTGGATATATTTCTTGAAGAAACAGAGAGATTATTAGGTGCGGAGTGCGGACGGGGAGAACCGTCTGCACAAGCACTATACCCAGTTAGGTACCGACACTCGGTATCACTAGGTAAGTGCTTGTGCGGATGGTGCACACTCTGCACCTAATAATTTTTCCAAGTAACAAATTAGTAAGCATATTTCTCAAATTTAGAATGTCATAATATGTATAAAATAAAATTTCTCAAACAATATAAAGCCTTACAAAACATAATTTGTCACATATATGAGTAAACATAAGATAAGCGATATATTCAGAAGGATTTATACTTATAAAACTAAGGTCTTTTTATTTATATACTTAACATATAAATTTTTTTGTTATTTTTTTTGTTGAGGAACTTTTCAGTCCATCAAAATAAACTCTTATATGAAAACTTTAAATATAAAATCTCTTAATTAATAGTCAACATTTTTAATCAATTGATTATACACTTAGGCTTCGTTTTGAATGACTTTTTATTGCTTCTTACAACTTTTTAGTATAAAAAATATTTTAAGAAGCAGTAAGAAAGCTGTCACAAATAAAACCTTAATTTAGTTAACATTTGTTAACTTCAATATGTGGCGATGCAACGCACATACGCACATAAGATTTGCTGCAGCAAGCAAGGGCACAATGGGGCCCGTAGCAGTCACGAGGCTTTGTTATGTCATTTAGGGTTCGTTCGGAATGGCTAAGAAAGCCGTCCCACTTTCTTTGAGATATTTTTTTATTGTTTCTTAAATCAATTTTTTAGTATAAAAATTAATCTTTTATACTAAAAATTATTTTAAGAATTCATAAAAAATGCCGTCCCAAACAAAGTTTGAATTAAAAAAAAAAAAAATTTTACTTTATAAAACAGTAAAAAAATTGTCCCAGACGAACCAATCTGGTTAACCAAATAGAAGAAAAAGGCAGTGCAGTTCAAGAGGAATTGCTTATTAGTGTAAATTTTATCGACAAAGTATCCTTCCTCCCGCCTTGTTTACCTTCCCGTCTCTCTGTCCACTGACAGCTACCACTCCATCTCCGCCCCGCAAAAGACGGCTTCTTGCCGCCGGCGATGGATACCTTTTTCGCTGGCGAAATCGCCACCGAACTCGTAAAGGAACTCATCAACGTCGTCCGCCGCGTCTACCTGTGCCGTCAAAGCGCCGAGCAACTCCGTCGCTCCGTAGAAGCCCTCCTTCCCATCATAACCGAGATCCGCTTCTCCGGCATCGAACTGCCCCAATCTCGCCAAAAACAGCTCTCCGAACTCGTTGAACTACTTCGCCACGGCCTCAATCTTGCCCGCCAAGTCGCAGCTTCCAGCCGTTTTAACGTTTACCGCAGCGTTCAGCTTGCCCGCAAAATGGAGAAGGTGGAGAGCGAGATTAACCGTTGGGTTCAGCGGCAGATGCCGGCACATATACTGGCTGATGTTCATCACATGAGGGTTGAATCGTCTGTCAGATTTGATCGATTGGAAAGGAAGGTGGAGGAGGCGGTGGCGGTGGGGGTCGGGGAAGGGAGGGTTAGGGTTTTGGAGATGATAGAGGGGTTAGGATTTGTTGGGGAGAGGGAAGGGGAGGTGGTGGGGGTTGGAGTGCTGGTGGGGAGGGAGAGGATTAAAGATGTGTTGATGAATGTTGGGGGAGGAGAAGTGGTGGGAATTTGTGGTATTGGAGGGAGTGGGAAGACGACACTGGCGAGGGAGATATGTAAGGATGCACAGATTCGAAGTATGCTTTCTTCTCGCCTTTTTTTTATATAAATTTTAAAATTTTATCTTGCGGGTTGTCTTTTGATTTTGATTTTTCTATGAAATTTTAACTAATTTACTGTGAGATTTGGGGATTTTGTTAGTTCTGCTATATAAAGCTACAATCAGCGTCTACATCCTCTATTCTAGGACTAAATTCCACCAAGAAATTTCTTTCAGCTTTCGAATTAACGTGGAATGTGTATGGAGGTATGCGCAATATGATAAAGCACAAATCCCATGCATAACGCATATTTTCATACAAATTTAATGCTAAAAAAGAATTCCTCTTATAGATTTCTATGAGGAATTCCTTAAGAGGATTTTTTTTTTCTCCATTTAATTTGACATAACCAGCTTCTTCTTACCAGTTTTTTGGGATTCAGCAGCAGCAGCAGCAGCAGCAGCTCTTCTAAATTGTATTTCTTTCTAGGTTTTGCAAACTTAACAAAAGATAATATCTAACGAATCTCGCACCTCCAATTCTTGCTGTTGTACTGTATCTGTGGAGATATGGATGTTATTTATTTTGCAATGTATAATTAAGCTATATTTTGTGTTTAAAATACATTCTCTTATCATTTCGTGACAATTTTCATTCATTATGATTTCATCAAGGTTTTTTTATTTTCATGGATTTTGCAATGTTAATATTTTGTTCTACTGAATATTCCAGATTATTTTGGTGAGAGAATTTTCTTTGAGACGGTTTCCCAGTTCCCAAACTTAGAGACGTTGAAATTGAAGATTTGGGAGCAGATCAGTGGAAATATGGTTATTGGTATGTATAAACATATACCTCAATGGCAGATCGATTTAAAACCGAGAGTTAAACAGCCAACTCTCATAGTGTTGGATGATGTTTGGTCACAAACTGAGCTTGAAGAACTTGTTTTTAGAGTACCCGGTTGCAAAACCCTAGTTGTGTCAAGGTTCAAGTTCCCTACCATCATCAGCTACACACATGAATTGGAGTTGCTGGCAGAAGATGAATCTCAGTCCCTTTTCTGCTGCTCAGCTTTTGGTCAGGAGTCAATTCCAGCCACTGCTGATAAGAATTTGGTGAAGCAGGTATGTATGTGTTTGGAAGATGTTATGTATGTTTGAAATTATATTATGTCAAGCAATTGATAGGAAACACTTGTAGATCACAAGTATTTCCTATCAATCTTCTGAGAACAGCGAGAATTCTTCACAAAAATCTGCACAAAATCTCAAAAACAGTAGATTATTTGTATTATTTGATGAAAGGGAAACGAAAAATAGCAAGATACAATTGATCCTCTATTCGAGAGGAGGATCGATCTCTCCCAAATCTCTAGACGCCACTAGAGCCCAAAAAAAAACCTAAATCTATGAGATCTCAAATTTCAGCCAAATTCAAGATGACCTAACCCTAGGAAAACAAACTATTTAATGCATACAAATCAAAAGGAAATCCCTAAACACTCCCTACATTCAAATTTCCCTCCCAAAACCCTAAAAGAATGCTACCTAAAAAGATCGTTTGGCGCTTACGGTGTGGTCGGCCACTAAAAGAGGCTGAGGTTCCGCCTTGGTTCCGCCTGGGCCGGTCCCGCGTGGACAGGTCCAATGGACTGGTCTAATAGCAATATGGTTGATGAGACTACAAATTAAATTTTTTCATTGTGTGTTGAACAAATAAAAGATTACCTGAATATTATTTGAGGATGCTAGGTAAAGCCATAAAATGACAATTAAGTGTACCTAAATTACTTTGTGTAAGGTGCTGCTTCATCAGATTCTTATGTTTATTTTGACTACAGGTTGTGGCTGAATGCAAAGGGCTTCCTTTGGCTCTAAAAGTGATTGGTGCTTCTTTGAGAAATCAGCCTCCAAAGATCTGGGCCAGTGCCAAAAACAGACTGTCGAGGGGAGAAGCTATATCAGACTCTCATGAGATAAAGCTTCTTGAAAGAATGGCTACAAGCATTGAATGCCTAGCAGGAAAGTTTAAGGAGTGTTTTCTAGACTTGGGCTCGTTTCCAGAAGATAAAAAGATCCCTTTGGACGTTCTGATCAATCTCTGGATGGAGATACATGATCTTGATGAGGAAGATGCATTTGCAATACTGGTTGAACTTTCGAACAGGAATCTCCTTACTCTGGTGAAGGATACACAGTAAGTCATTCAAATTTCCTCAGCATATTTCCTGAAATTGTTCATGGTAATTTCTATTATGTTCTTGCATGCTATGATTGTCTATTTTTCAGGAACAGGGCAGGCGACATATATAGCAGTTACTGTGAGCTTTCCATTACCCAGCATGATGTGTTGAGAGACTTGGCTCTTTTTATGAACAATCGTGAGCCTTTGAAGTGCCGAAAGAGGCTGATCATGCCAAGAAGAGAAGATAGACTCCCAAAGGATTGGGAAAGGAATTATGATCAGTCATTTGAAGCACAAATTGTTTCAATTCATACAGGTATTTATTCATACTTCAAAGAAAATTGGGTGCCTACAAATTACAAATTATTTCTAAATTGAACCACGGGATATGAGATTATGAGACAACCTACAAAATTTCAGGATATTATTTTATATTCTTTCTAAATACTCCATGAATCTCAGTCAATTGCTTCGCTTTCTTATTGTGTAGCAGTCAATATAAATTAGTGACTTATTCAACTTGGCTGTCTGTGCGTGGACCCCACAGCTTCTTTGCTTAGAGCCATAAATTAATCAGGATATCTAGATTCTACTCCTTAGAATAAACTGACAGTTGGAAAATTTAAAAGACTTTCTTTATTTGGCTGAATGCTAAAATTATTGAAAACAAATTTATATAAAGGTAAGAGGAGAAAATAATAAGAAAAATCCGATAAAGAAGAATAATAAACATATATTATTATAAATTTTTAATAAATAATAAACATATGTGATAATATTGATATGTATCATAATAATTTTACGGAGGGTTTACACATATATAGCATCTAGAATATCATATTTGTATATTTAACATCTAAATTTTATTATTTATATACATAGCATTAAAAAAAATCTCATTACAATTCCCATCATCACTTTACCATGCCGTCAATCCCATCTTCATTTGCTGTCAACGCCGTCACCCTTCTGATAGGAAACACTTGTAGATCTCAAGTATTTCCTATCAGTCTTCAAAAAACAGCCAGAATTCTCCACAAAAATCCACACAAATCCACGAAAATAGTAGATAATTTGTATTATTTGATGAAATAGAAACGAAAAATAGCAAGATACATATGAACTTCAATTCGAGAGGAGGATCGATCTCTCCCAAATTCTCTAGATGCCACTAGAGCTCAAAGGAAACCTAAACTTAAGAGATATCAAATTTCAGCGAAATTCAAGATTCTCTAACCCTAGGAAAACAAATTATTTAATGCATACAATCAAAAATAAAATCTCTAAACAATCCCTACATTCAAATTTACCTCCTAACTCGCTAAAAAACCCTTACAAATTGGCTCCCGTGGATCTTGTGGTTTATGCGGCTCATACAGGAGGCGGACTCTTCCGCCTCTTGTTACGTTGAGCCTGTCCCATATAGACCGGACAGACCGGTCTAACACCTTCACATGCTGCTGATCTCTGCCTCTTGATGTCATATTTCCTCTCTCATCTTTATCTCTCTCTCTCTCTCTTCCACTCCTATAGAAACTTTTGAAGCCCTTGGCAACAAAGAAGCGAGGAAAGGGCACGGGAGCTAGCAGGCGAATGCCTCAACAAGTCCAAGCCGGAGCTCAAAGTCGTGCAGGAGCTTGACACGCATAAGTTTAATGGGAGAAGGCATTGACGAGTCCAGCAATGGCAAGATTTGGCAAGTGTCTGACTAGATCAAGCTAGATCTGTTAATCATCTAAATGGAGTGCATAGTGAAGTCTAGTTAAATATGTAAATTTTAATCTCTTAGGTGCTATGTATGCTAATCCTTCTAATTTTAATAACTCTAACACTGCTCACAAAATGATCCTCGTTCCCTTACAGGTGAAATGAAAGAATTTGACTGGTTGCCTATAAAATGCCCCAAGGCCGAGGTTCTCATGATCAATTTTTCAGCATGCACATATTTCCTTCCTCCATTTCTCACTACCATGCCAAACCTCAAGTCACTCATTCTGAACAACTATGGCTCATCCTCTGCCATTCTCGGAAACATATCCACTTTCACCTCCATTAACAACTTGCGGAGCCTCTGGTTTGAGAAGATAACTGTGCCACCTTTACCCAGAACCACAGTCCCTCTACAGAACCTGAGAAAGATTTCTCTTGTCCTCTGTGAACTCAAAGATAGCCTCAAAGACTCCACAGTTGACCTCCAAACCACCTTCCCCCAGCTCTCTCATGTCACCATAGATCACTCCATGGATCTTACTGACTTCCCCTCCAGTATCTGCGAAATGCGATCGCTCGAGAACCTGAGCATTTCCAACTGCCATGACTTGCAGGAACTTCCATCCGAATTCGGAAAACTGGACTCTCTTCAAATCCTAAGAGTTTTTGCTTGCCCAGCTTTGAAAAAGCTTCCTCACTCTATCTCCAGGCTGAAAAGATTGAAGTACCTGGACATCTCTCAATGTATCAATCTCAAATACCTTCCAGATGAGTTTGGCAAATTGGCTAGTCTGGAGAGAATCGACATGAGAGAATGCTTGCAGTTGAGAGATATCCCGAGGATTTTCGCATCGCGAAGTTCATCGCTTCATGTGGTGTGTGATGAAGAGATGGCTTTGTTGTGGAAGGAAAGAGAGAAAGATATACCAGAGCTTCAGGTTCAGGTAGTTGAGGAATGCTTCAATCTGGACTGGCTTGTAGAGTGATCTTTGCTTGTTTGCCTCTGTGTATGAGTGTACATATGTGCGTTTAGAAGTGCTTTAGAAAGCTTTGTTTTAATTGCTTCAATTTGCTTGTCTCGCTAGACTAAAGTAACTTAGTGATACGTAGTTTATTTTGGTCTGTTGATTGGGGGCTTTAGCTATCAATTAAGAGGATTTGAGTTTGAGTTTTATGTATGTGATGTGTGTGAGAATTTGTCTTAATTGACCTGAATGTCCCAAAAATAAAAACTTAGTAATATTAGGGCAAATTCAACAGCTAGAATTGCTTGAAGTAGCACCAATCGCTTCGATATGAGGAGAGGGGACGAAGAATGATCAATTACTAGGCAAACCAACCTTAAATTAGTAATTACTTTCAAAAAATGAAAACATCTGAGGATTATTTTAATTTTTTTAACTATTAGATTTATTTTCAAAAATAAGAATAAAAAAAAGTCAACTATATATTTTAAAAATTAATTCCAAATAAAAAATTGCCATAATTTTTATGAACTATATAATTTTCTTATTATTTTTCATAAATTTATTTTTTGAGGAACCGTTTTTTGATAATTTAATAATTAGAATGCGATGGTTAAAAATATATAAATATTATAATTTATAATTCATCATTAAAAAAAATTCTAAAGTTGACTTATTGGCCTAAAAAGAGTGGATGGGGAAATGCAAGAAGGAAAAAGAAGAGCAGAAGCCGCGTCAAACTTAATCACGTCAGAGGACTCGCAAAGTCTTAGGTGGATTGAAAATCCATTGCAGCTGTAATTAGGGATGTAAATGAGCTGAATTAAATTTAATAATCTCTCTTAATTTAAGTTTAATTTAATTACTTAATTGAGATTAAACTAAAGCTCAAATTTGAGCTTTAGTTTAATTTTATGAATTTGAGTAGGCTTATGAATAGGGATGTCAATATTTGACACGACACGAAAATCCGACCCTAAAAGTCTGAGTTGGACCCGACCCGTTTTAAAAACGGGTCGGGCTCGGGTTCGCAGATTCGACCCGTTTGAAAAAAAGGGAAATTTACATACATACCACTTTATAACATTTTATTTACATATCTAACACCTAAAACTTTAATATTACATAAATACCACCCATAGTTCATTTTCATATCAATATGAGTGGTAGAAATAAAATATATGAGTACTTGACCGACGGACTTAAGATCTGAATCAACAATACATCTCAATTGATCGACACAATCAAATTCCTTAAAAGACTAACAAGCCGTTTGATAGCTAGCGGAAAGAAAACATGAGCAAGAAGTATGACAACGTAAATCATTTCAAAATTATTTGAGTTAAAAAAAAAAAACATTATTTGAGTTAAAAAATATATTATCATTGTAAACTAATCGCAAACACCTTTTTTTTAAAAAAATTTTTCAAGTGGTGAGAAGAAATATTAGATATTTGCCTAGGGTAAATTTTATGTTGCATATTCAAATTCTAATTATTTATAATATAAAAATCCTCTGATCTCTTTTTTTCATTCAAATATCAAAATTCACAGCATAACCTTTTTTTCTCTTTTAATTCTCAAAAAATTATTTTTTTCGCTAAAATAACCTTCATACTAATTGCATAAATAAAAATTTTTGACATATCACACATAAATGTTCCTAATTTTATTATAATAATTGAGTTACTACATTATACTCTGCAGCTCACCTTAATTTGTTAGTTGAAAATTTCACTGGTAATCAAGATATCTTAAGTCTGAAGCTTACATATGTGATGTGTGTGAATAAATTCCTATTGCTTGTGAAGATAAACTTGCACGCCATACCAGTATTTTGATTCATTTCCTTATAATTTTTCACCATAATTAAGTACTTGTTAATTTTTTTTTTAACATTTCTTAGATAAATGCAATCCCTATTGATTAATCACATTAAAACCAAACAACAAATACAAAATTATAATCCAATTCCTTCAAACCAAACAGAGCATATAAGATAAAACATGCAAATAAAAAACAACTTGAGAGAGAAAACCATAGTTCAAACCAGAAGGTATATGGGGCAAAGAAGCCAATATCACATCAACAGACAAACATAGCTAGCAAGTATCATAAAGTTGTTAGTAGTTTTCTTTTAGGGTCCAAGTTAAGCACAGTTACACACAAATATGCCAATCCTTGAACTCAAAATCTCTTAAGTTCGGGCCAACAATCAACAAAGTAGCAGCACCTGTAGGTCTAAAGTTTCGTTTGGGACGGCTTTCTTATTGTTTCTTAAAACAACTTTTTAATACAAAAATTTAATTTTTTACTAAAAAAACTACTTTAAAAAGCAATAAGAAAACCGTTCCAGACGAAAGCCTTTATAAATTACATGGCATAAACTATTTCTCCGCTGCTATCGACATCAAGCTCTGGATCAGATTCAAAATCTTCCATGTCATCAAAGTCAAAGCCGTCATATAGAGGAGGATTGAGAGAATGAGTTCCTGCAGCGGGAATAGTTGCTTCTGCAATGATCTGCATTATCACGTCGATGTTCTGCATTGGTTGATCAGGCTCCTGGTACTGGCTACTCATTGCGTTATCATCCATTAGATCTATAGGAAGGTTCTTTAAAAACCATTCGTGGTTGTATATCTCTGGTATTGTTATCCTCTGCAATATTCAACTTGAATTAGAGTGATGGAAAAGTTTCTGATAGCTAGCCATCTTAGGTTCTGTTTGGGACGGCTTTCTTACTGCTTCTAAAAACATCTTCCTAGTATAAAAATTTAAAATTTTTACTAAAAAGTTTTTTTAAGAAGCAATAAGAAAGCTGTCCCAAATAAAGCCTTAGTCATGTGGAAGTAGGTATTTGTGATTTTAGAACTTAGAAAGCATCTAATTAAAGTTTGGGAAAACATTGCACTTGACTATGGTTCTAAAAAGATATCTAGTTTGTCATACATGGATAAGATAATTGAAATATAGAAATAATTCAAACTCCAAATGCTCAAACATCAAAACAATGCTTGATGGAAAGAATTACAGGAAATAATTTGTAGAAATGACATGTGATGCACAGGCTTCATACAAAAATCACACTTAATCCTTAATATCATCTGCTATTAAAACTATCATAGCACATTCCCTTGAGTTTAAATTAGCTTGTACAAAAAAATTGTCAGGTCTTATTATTGAACCTCGTCCATATCAAAATAAATCCCATCCTGCTGACTTTAACTTGGACAAAAAAAAAAACTCTCACAAAAAGGTTTTCCTTGATGTAAATAATGAGAAATTCATTTATCAATGCTTATTTTCAAAATACTATTTATTGATGTTATCAAAAGAACTAGCAGACTCAACTTGGCTGCCAAAGGGAAGTAATCCCATCCCTAAGCTCTTAACTGAGAAGGAGAGATATAAACTATGTTAGATAATATTATTAATTTTTAATTGATTTTTTTTGTCCTGGTAATAAAACCTTACTAAATAGATTAAACTGAGCAAAGAATTTAGAGTTTTATGTTCATATCGTTTGTTTATTATAACGGTTGTAGTAATGAAGAGAATGAACATGTTTCAAAGAATTACATGCTAACCACACACCATTAAAAATTTCCATTTTAATCAATCTGCACACTTGTTTCCAGGAATCTTTAGTTTTGGCGAATGGGGATAGTTCTCATCAAGCAAGGCAATCCTCAGACCCGCTCATAGAATCATACCAAATTTTGAAGCGTTGTTGCATCATTAGCACAAACACCATATAACAAAAGATACGAACATAAAACTCCAAATAGAAAGTTAAGAGAATTTCATTCAAATTAAGAGACCAAAAAATACTGTGCTAGTATATATTAAAATACCAACATGCTTACCATAGCAGGATCAGCCACAAATATCCTTGATATTAAGTGCCTGCACTCAAGAGATATGGGAACATCGTCTGGAATTGAATATTGGACTCCTAATATGCGCTGCAACCAAAAGATGATAAGATGTGAAACATTGATAAAATGGAACAATTATTACGTCCTCTGACCGGATGTAGAGCTACGTTCGGCCTCCAATAACATGTTGCCACGTGCTCTTACTCTTTACCGCGAGGCCCGACGACTTGACCCGGACCGGAACCCGGGAATGCTATGTTTGCGTATTACGAGGTATTACGAGGTATTTGCTCGGTATTGTGAGGTATTGCTTGACAATAACGAGAAATACCGGTCAGTGAAGACAAATACCGAGAAATACCAAGTTGTACCGAGTTTTTTCTTACCGAGTTTTTCTAGAAATACCGAGTTGTACCGAGTTTTTCTAGAAATACCGAGTTGTACCGAGTTTTTCTCGGTTTTTCTAGAAAAAAAAACTCGGTATTTCTCGGCAATACTCGGTATTTGCTCGGTATTGCTCGGTATTGGTTATTGCCGAGCAAATTCGACCAATACCTAGGAATACCGAGCAATACCTAGCAAAATCGAGAAATACCGAGCCATCCTGGGTCCGTTCCGGGTCAGGTTGTCAGGCCGCGCGGTAAATAGTGAGAACGCGTGGCGCGATTCTATTGGCGACCGAACGTAGAGCTACGTCCTGTGACCGGACCAAATAAAAGTTCGATAAAATGGCATTACTTCCGCTTGTTTTCCATTCAATTTATAAAGCTAGAAGAAGCTAAAACCTGTATCGTCTTCAGGTAGTTCTTTGGCTCCTCTGGATCCTCAAAAGGATATGCACCCACCAGCATTACAAAAAGTGTGACTCCACAGGACCACACATCAGCTATCTGTACTAGTATTTATAGGAGAAACATGTTTTATCAGCAAAAAATAGTATAACTTCAAATAATATAATGACAACAGAAGAAGATTCAATCCAACACCCATCATCGTAAATTCAAGACTTAGTCTAAGATCATCATTGTCGAGAGATATTCCAGCTCAAAGCCAAAAATACATCACTTAAGGCAATCATCAAATATTACATAGCATGCAACAGTAACACTATTGTCAACATCAATGACGGCTTTTAAAGTCTATCTCTGATCAGTCCAATGGGAACCTATCCTGAGCCAATGATGAGGAAAGATACAAATCAAACATTTCTCCCTAAAGAGGGAGGGCTCATGCCCTCTTCCCTAAAGAGGGAAAAGGAAAATGGATCTCTCTCCGTAAAAAATGAGGACATAAGTTGACTCTTCCATGAGAAGGTAAATAAATAAGAATGACTTTCTCTGAAGGGGGCTAGATAAATCTACTGATTTCTGAAAAAGGAAGAGGAACCAGACATCCCTTTCTAAGGATGAGGTAGTCACTTCAAACCTTCCCTCAAGAGGGAAAGGAAGGTATGTCTCTCCCTGAGGAAAGAGAGGTTTTCTCGACTCTTCCCAAAGGGAAGAGGAAAGAGACGCCTTCATCTTGAAAATGGAAAAACACTAATTCATGCCAAGGATAATGGACTAATAAAGCAGGAAGAATATGAGTATGCTATTGGCTAAAGAAAACAGTTGAATGGTAAATAATTGGATGCCTAAATGTATTTTATTCAAAGCCGAGCATAATATCCATGCATCCTGAGGTGCACAATATGGATTCGGGTTATGGAGCAAATAGGCAATAATTTAGATATTCATAATGTTTTTTTCAGAAAATTTTTAAGTTGAATAGATGAAATCGTATGGTTGAATGTTCGAGGGTGGAATATTTTCAAGTCATCCTTACCCAGAGTTCTTAGCCTGTCGTAGCCTTTGTAAGAGACAATATTCTCCTAGCTATTACCTCATTCGTCCTTTCTGCCATTTCAATCTTTCATAGCATCAGGTTGTTAGGTGATAAGTTCTTATGATGGACACACGCATCATATATATGGCTACTTTGTGTTTTAACTCAGCTTGACACAACGGATTTTGCATGAATCTCACCAAGGAGGTGTTGGTTGAGACAGGTCAGGTCATGTGAGTATGTGACCACTTGATCAATAGTTCCAAGTAATCAAATGTCATGGCCACTTATATTGAATGATGATCATACTTACCTAACAGGAGGACCTCAATTATGTGAAATTGAAAGAAGATTTTGAAGTGGCAGATAATAATATTTGACCAGAGAGCCCATATATAATGAAGGGTTCCGACCCAATTACCCTTCAAGTTATCAATCTTCTTCTTCATATGACTCAGGAGGAGCTTGTTCTTCTTCATTGTGGGCTCCGAAAATTCGGCCCCAGCCTCCCCGCCGCACTTTTCTTTTTATTCGGCGAGAGAGTTTTAACTGATAAGTTCCGAGGTAAATTTTGGAAGGTAAATGGGTTTGTAGATAAGACACTACCCAGAGATTTTGCCCTCATTTTGTGAGGACTTTATGATCTGAGTTCTGGTTTCCTATAGGCGCAAGCCCCTATAGTTAATTATCCCTCCCAATAATGAGAGAGAATTTTCGATTAAGGCTAGTCGTCAATCAGATACGTATAGAATACGTATTATCTGACACATAGTAGCAGCGATGGATTTGAAATGTTTGAAAGTTTGGAAATTTGGGAAATTTGATATTTAAAATAGAAATTGCACCCTCCTGCACTTAAAGCGAATGGTGGGGGAATAGATGATAGACCCGATCAAGATCCCATGGTTCCGTCGTCCCGGGCCATCATAGTCCCTGGTCTACTTAGTCAGAGGAGGTAGTCGACCCAACCTGACAGAAGGATCCTTGTCGGCAGTCATGGGTTGCTTCGTCCAAGGGGACCTTGTAGACCTGGGTTGGATGTTTGCCTAAGGGGACAAATTTGAATCCACCTTAGCTGACAGAGGGCTTTGTGCCCTATCGATCAAATCCTATTGATTCATATCTCAAGAATTTAACGCAATTAAGGAGCGTATTGGCTCTGGTCATAACCGCTATCTGTGATGTCATTTGACGACAAAACCACTCAGTTCAGAGGGCCCCGGGTCATAACCGTTTACCTGCAGTGCCATTTGGCGGCGAAACTGCCGGTTAGAGGACACGTACCACGTCCTTACTGGCAGGAGATTATTTGAGAATGAATCCTAGTTATATTTTCGACTAGACATTTGGCTCTTTGTGAGCTAGAGTTTATTTGAATTTGTCCACCCTGGCAGACTGTTGCGGAGGGTGGATGGACTTTTCTTTAAGTGTTGGGATGGATAGTTTCATTTTTAAATATCTTAAAATTTGGAATGATTTTGGAAATTTTGGATTTTGAACTTTTGGGAGGCATCTGAACATGCCTAAAATTAACCCCTCCGGTTGAGATCATTCGTTCAACACGGCCATCATCGGGGTGTTTGGGGTCATTTTTATTTGTTGATTGAATCTTGTCAACTCTATCGAATTATAGATAGAGGATCGGATTTCGTAGGCTTTATACACTTGATAGTGAATTCTCATTGTTATAGGCCTTGAAGGCCTAATATAAATGTATTAAGACAAATATGACGGTCGCCACAACCGTATATTTGTTTGTTGGTTCAAACCCTGTCGACTTCTATTGACCCGTATAGAAGGATCGGTTTCAAACTTGAATTCACTTGTCAACCCGCGCAGCATCCCTAGACGTCACGTGTGTACCAATAACACGCTTGCCGGGGCCCATGCGGGTGTTTGGGTTCATTTTATAATTGAACCATGTCAACTCCTTTTTACCTGCTAAGGAAGATCGGGTTTAAAATTTGATAACCCGCGCAGCATCCCTAGACGTCACGTGTGTACCAATAATACGCTCGCCGGGGCCCATGCGAGTTTTATAATTGTTTTTACCACTTTTAGTGTACCTATGTGTATACAAACTACTGTGTACGTGCGGTGGTACTTTGAAAGTATTTGTAGACGCCTTCTGTCCGCTTGCATAGAAATTGCGGATTCGATGGCGTATCGTAGCAACTTCTGAATTGAGTTGTTCGCTACTTCGTACAGGTAGACTGTCGTGCACTACTTGCCTTTTGCAGATAGATTGTAGTGCACCAACTAATCTCCTGCTTTGGATCGTACGAGCTTGCACTTGTCGTATTCTTCATATATTTTATGGTAGTCTTTGGTTTTTTCAGTGCATCCGCTACTGCTGTAGGTAGATGTATTCTTTCATTTGTAGATTGAGGTTGACTACAAGATACTACATTTACTGAAGTCTTTCTATATCTACCCCTGGGTGGCATGTTATACATACATCTGTATTCATTAAGAGATTGTATGTATTGCAGATCTTCTATTCTTGATTGCATGAAGGTCGATTTGTGTGCTTGAATTTTGATGTTGATAGATGACTGAGTTATACCCACTAACTACTTCTTCGTGCATATGAGCTAGAAATTTACTATACTTATAGCACCTCAATCTCCAAAACTTGAAAGAGATCGTAATATCTTGTTTACTATACATTGCACTATTGTAGGTAGTTGATATGTTGCTACATTTACTATGTATGTCTTTCAGTACTTGTGGGGACTATCACATGCATCCCTAAGATAACTGGCATTCGCTTGTAGGGTATTGCATTTGTAGTTAATTTTTCATCATAATTGTTTGCCAAGATTCGTAGAATCTACACATCCCACATATTAGTGTGTCATCTGTCGAGCTACATCTTTTATCAGTGCTTGTGAGCAAGTTATATTGGCAAAATTATTGTCCACTACAAATTACTGTTTACTTGCATTTGATCTCTTTCCTTTGATGTTTCTTCTTGGAGATGATGACTTGTTGGAGATAAAGATGTAGTAGCTTCCTTGTCTACCATGAACATATGTTTACATCTCAATGTTTTCTTGAATGTATTTGAGAATTTAAAGTTCTCATTTGATGTTTGCATCTTGATAATGTATCTCTTAATCAAGAGTCTAGTTCACATCATCTGTTCAAGCTTGCTTTAAGTTTGACTTTATATTCAAGACTTGGTTTGTTGAGGCTCAAGTTTGAGTTCAACTATTTAAGTCAAGTTTGAATGAAATTCTTTTGGTTGAGCTTTGATTCAAGTCCTCGGTCAAGTTACAAGTCCCCATGATTGTTCAAATCATGGTCAAATGAGGTTCAAATTATAGCATATACTTTTGTATTTTTCTTTTAGGTTCCAATTGAATTAAAGCTCTTTATATCATTTCGAAGTTCATAAGTCCCTTTCACTTGGTTCAAACCAAGTTCAAATGCATGTCCCCTGTCGTTCGAGTTCTTTGTCAGCTTCGGTCCACATTCAAGTTCACTTTCGTTTGTTCATGTGACAAGTCTAAGTCCTTGCTCAAATTGTTCAAGTCAAGTTCTTTGTAGCCTCTTGAGTTCAATCAAATTCAAGTCTTATGATTTCAAATTTATTTGAGTTCAAGTTTACTTAAGTCCATTTGGTTCAAGTTCACAAATCCATTGTCCTCTCAAGTTCAAAGGTTCACAAGCTAAGTCCAAGTTCGATCGTCCTTTGAGTTCAATCAAGTCTAAGTAGCATTGCGTTCACCCGAAATTTTGGCAGTCTTCCGGCGTCTCCCCTGTTTAGGGGAAAACTACGAAAAACTGGGCCTTTCCCACCATGCTAAGAAAAGCGTGTATGGTAGGTGCCCTCTTTCGAGGACACCGCGGCCGTGTATTTTTTGATCCCCCACCACGCTAAGAAAAGCGTGTATGAGTATTTTTGAAAATATTTTGCAAGAAAGTATTTTTTTGAAAAATATTTTGCAAGAAAGATAGTTATTTCCCCGCACCGGGCTCCTATCCCACCACGCTAAGAAAAGCGTGTATAGGCGGGGTTTCCAAGGCGATACGAACTTCGAAGAAGGGATTTTTGGTGATTACCCGCTTCGTCGCAAGCGTCGGGACGCACGTCCTCCCACCACGCTAAGAAAAGCGTGTATAGGTGGTCGTTTTGTCCCGACAAATGCGTTGAAACGAGTTCTCGGAGTTTTAGGGTTTAGGAGTTATACCTTGGCGGGCTTGTCGGTGTTGGCACGTGGATCGAGGGGTCACTCGCCTACCTCGTCGTAGGTGTCGTACCGGGGTCCCACCCCACCACGCGCACCAAAGGCGTGCTTGGGGCGGTTTTCCGGCCTGATACAAACATCGAGGCAAGGTAGGGAGGGAATTTTTTTTAACAAATTATAATTATTCTTAATTATATTTACTCGTAATTAATTATGATTAATTAAAAATAATTAACTAAATTTAGTAAAATTAATTAAAATGATTAATTATAATTAAAAACGAGAGGGGTGCGGCTGTCAGCAAGGCGTAGGAGAGGGGAGAAGTCGACGGGAGTAGAGGCTTCGGTGTGTGGAGATTGGATGTCGTGGAGGGCCGATCGGGTGAGGGAGGAGTTTGGAATGCAGGCAGCTGGAGATCGTGGGTTTCGGTCGTGGTTCTAGAGGGTGACGGGATTGAGGAAGAAGGGGGCTTCGGTTTGGTAGCTAGAGGCGTCGACAATGGAGATGGAGATCGGAGCTTGGCTATGGCTGGATGGGATTCTCGCGTGGGAAGAGCTACGAATAGAATGAATCCCCAACGACGGGAGTTGGGCTTGGTTTTATAGGCGTTGGAGAGCAGTACTCGAGGGGCTGCCACGAGATTTGAGCAGGAGTCCCGGAACGGCGCCGAATGGTACAGTAAATCAGCGGGATTTCTGCGATTTTACCAAATTTCAGGCTGGGTTTTGGCTCTGTATCCGGTGGTCAACATTCATGTCCATTTGTCTAAGGATGATGAATCTATACATACTTCACATGATAGCACTTCTCCTAACAAAACTTCCAAACCATTTTGATGATGAACTAAGGTTTATGATAAGAAATTATTACCATAGGAAGACTATGCTTCCAAATTATCTCCATCCACATGAAGCTCTAAATCACCTTCTTCATGGTGGATGCTAGAGCCTTCACTTTTATATACTTAGCAAAATAGTCAATCATCACCAAAACATATTTCTACTATACTAACATCGGGGAAATAGTCCAAAAATATCCATCCTCAAACTTCAAACGACCAAATGCTAATTAATATTGAGTTTACCAAATGAGCATTGTTCTATAATGCATACATTTCACATTAAAATCAAAATTTAGAGAACATGTCAATGTTCTTCCCTGTTGTCATCGAAAAGTACCCTGCCAGGTGATTATGAGCACAATAGTTTAACAACTAAGGTGAGTTTCACATTTGCCTGATTACTTATTCTAATAAGCCCGATATTTCATCTTCTAGGAAACACTAACAACAAGAAAAAGACTTGGGTAAAGAATGTCATAATGGAATATTGTGTTGCCTTACACCTCAGAGTTCGAGCTTCAATTGGCAAATAAAATATAATCAAATCCATCTAGGTCGGCTAACATCTAAATCTGCCAACCCTTCTTCAATTGCTTGAGTGCAGTGTAGATATGAAAATCATATTGCTAAGAGGGCAAGCTGACCAATTGACTCTCCTCTCATAGGGTGTTGAACTATGAATTATTCAAAGCAAGTGATGACCTAGCCTACAATAAATATTTTTGTAGAATCAAGGCCAAGGTCTCGTATTTTCATGAATTTGATTCAAGGCTAATTGAATCATAAATGATGGAGATACATTACAACAAAATAGGTTCATGCTGGCAGATTCTACCAACAAAATTTGTCACATAGAAATACCGACTTTTTGACATACTATCTGCTGGCATACTTTATTGTAAAAAGTTTGTCAACTATTGTAACCAGCTAATTATGATCAAATGATCTGACAGTGTGGTAAGATTTACAATTGATTCTAGACATCAAATCCACTAGAAATTTACTTATCACTGACATATATCATCTATACAACAACAACAAGCCTTTATCTCACTATGTGGGGTCGGCTACATGAATCCTTTTTCTCCATTATGTCCTGTTAAGGGTTAAATTCTCATCTAAATCTAATAAAGAAATGTCATTTCTAATATTTCTAACCATTTTATGTGACCAAACCATCTAAGGCGAATCTCTCTAATTTTATCTTTCACTAGAGCTACTCCAACCTTTTCACGTATATGCTCATTTAGTATCCTGTCTTTAAGAGTAAAGCCACTCATCCACCTAAGTATCCTCATCATTGCAACACTTAATATTATGCTTCTCTTTTAATGGCCAACATTCTGCACTATAAAGCATTGCAGGTTTCACTACCATCTTATAGAATTTTCCTTTAAGTTTGAGAGAGACTTTTGTATCACATAACAAGCTCGATGCATTCCTCCACTTTAACCATCTAACTTGAATTCTACTAATAATATCCCCATCTATTTCACCATCACTTTGAACAATAGACCCAAGCTATCTAAAATGGGTACTCTTATTAATGACTTGATCACCCAAAGTCACAATCCCCTCACTAGATCTACTATACTAAAATTATACTCCATATATTCAATTTTAGATCTACTCAAATGAAAGCTTTTTAGACTCTAACATTCCCTCCATAATTCAAGTTTACCTTCAACTCCCTCTTTATTCTTATCAATAAGAAGAATATCATCAGCAAAAAGTATACACCAGTGTACAATCTCTAGCAAATGTCTAGGAACATCCATGAATAAAGCAAAAAAGATAAGGGATTAAGGTTGATACTTGATGTAATCTAGTTGAAATAGGGAAATACTTGATCAAACCACCTTGTGTTTGAACACAAGTAATAGCTCTTGCATACATATCCTTAATGACTTGAAAATAAGCATTATTAACCCCTTTCTTATGTATAATTCTCCATAGGACTTCTCTTGGAACTTTATCATATGCTTTCTCTAAATCAATAAAAATCATATGTATATCCTCCTTATTCTTTTTATACTTCTCCATCAAATCTCTCAATAAATGTATAGCTTCCATAGACCAACCTGGCATAAATTTAAATTGATTTTGAGAAACATTAGTATCATGCCGCAACCTATGCTCCATAACTCTCTCCCATAGTTTTAAGTATGACACATTAACTTAATTATTTTATAATTCGCACAATCTTGTTGTGACGACCGGTCCCCTCCCTATTAAATTCACGAACAGAGGAATCGCAAAACCGAAGGGGCGGACAGACGACTTTGTGCGAGAGCGTGACGTGAGTTCTGTTTTTCCAATTTTAGCAAACGATTGCCTTCAAGGATAAGAATTAACAATTCATTTTCATTCCCACCATTAAAGAAATGATAAATTTAAAAGAAATTTCACCGAACAAGAGGAACGACCGAGGGAAAAAGGAAAGAAGGTTTGTTGGTTTTTCTTTCCATTTTTTTTATAAATTGTGTCGTTTAATTTCATCTAAAGTAAAGGATAATTTATTAAATGGAGAGAAAGCGATTTGGAAGCAAGGGGAAGAGATTTTGAGAGGAAAAGAGGAATGTTTTGAAAATCCCCTCGTTGTAAGTAAAATGCCTTTCATATATTTTTTCTTATATTTATTATTAAAGCATATTTGTTTTATGAAAATTTTATTGTTTAATTATTAGAAAATTTGGAAGGAAAGAAAATAAGTTGCAGGAGTTGAGTTCTTTAAGAATTCAACAAGAAAATACATTAAAGCTGAGATTGTGACAATGATCAAAGATTTGAAAGATTAAAGTGGGTAGTTATAGTTGTGAAAATTTTAATATTTTATGTTTTCTTTCGAACATGACATAGTATATTATATCATGGTTTTACTTCAAAGGTTTTACACTTTTTGGAAACTATCATGTGTGAAACGATGTAAGTTTAAATGAATAAATGAATATAGATATTATTACAACAAAAAATGAATGAATAAAATGTCATGAATGAAATTGTATGTATATGTGAAAAGGATATATATATATATATATATATCAAGAAAGTATGCATACGAATGAATGATATATGAAATTGAATGAAAATAAATAAATAAATGAATGAAAAGAGAAAATGATGTGTAAAATTTACAGGAGTTCAACCCCATATGGTACTGGCTGGGGAAACAATATACCCATGCACTTAAAAGGAAAAGGTTAAGAAAAAGGAAAAGAAAAAGGAAAAGGAAATGAAAATGGTTGTACCTTTGGTACATTTAGATGATACTCATGTATTAATTAAATGGAAAAAAGAACATATGATAAAAGATTATAAAGGTCATAAATGAGTATGATACGATATGTATAAGTGCATGAATGGTATGAAATGAACAAAGAAAAGAAATGTATATCAAAGTTAAATGAATACACTTATATTAAAGGTTAATTGTATTGTACTTATAAATATTAATTGTTATAGAAATTACCAACTGAGTTTACCTTGTAAACTCATTCTATTAAATAATATTTCAGGTAAGTCTTCAGGGATTTAGAAATGGTAGAAAGGGAAGTGTTCGTCTATAGAAGACGACGCAATATTGAAAACATGTAATTTATGATTTTTATAAATGTTAAGTATTTAAGAAATTTTGTTATTGGCTCCTCAAATGAAAGGAGAAAATATGATGTTTTGATGTTGTATTGCTTATGAATTGAAATGATTTGATCATACCGTCTAACTTTTAGTTTCCGCCTCATTAAATCGAGCATCTGAGCCGGGTCGTGACACTTGTGCATCACATTTCTTCTTAAAAATAAGAATTAACACACTCATTTTTCACTCCTCTGACATCTTTTTAGTCTTCAAAAAAATATTAAAAAGTTTAGTAAGCAACAAAATTCCTTCATCTCCTAAGCATTTCCACACCTCTATTGGAATATCATCAGGTCCAACGGCTTTTCTACACTTCATTTTCTTTAAAGCCTCTTTAACTTCGGTTTTACTAATACGGCAATAAAAATAAAAATATTTATTTTCATTTAGGGTGCTAAGGTCACTAAAAACAATCGCATTCTCATAATCTTCATTAAAAAGTTTAGCAGAATATCTCATCCACATTTGTTGAATATCTTCTTCTAATAAAAGCATTTTTTTATCTTCATCCTTAATAAACTTCACTTGAATTAAATCCATATTACTCATATCTCTTTATTTAGCTAATTTATAAATATATATATTTCGCCCTCTTTAATATCAAATCTATTATATAAATCATTAAAAGCTAAAATTTTTGCATTGCAAATTATTTTCTTAGACTACTTACAGGCATCTTAATATCTTTCCTAATAATTAGAATTTTTCCAACTAAACTAATTTTTATAACAAATCTTCTTATTTTTTATCTTTACTTCCACATCTTGATTACACCACCAACTATTTTTATTATTAGTAGGTTTTCCCTTTAATACTCCAAATACATCCTTTGCAACATTCTTAATATTACTAGCTAATTTTTTCCACATAACATTATATTTCTCATGCACAGATAAAATCTTAAGATCTCGAATCTTATTCTTAAAAATATTTATGTTAATATTCTTTAAATACCCCCATCTAATCTTAGAACAATAATTTACTTTATTTTTTATCTTTTGTCCATTCATCTTAAAGTCCAAAACTAATAAGCTATATTGGGTACATAAATTTTCACTCAGAATAACTTTACAATCTTTACAATCTAAACAATCTATTTTTCTTATAAGAAAATAATCAATTGAGTTTTACTATATATATTCTTATAAGTGATGAGATGATCATCTCTTTCTTAAATAAGATATTAGCAATTATAAAATCATAAGCTAGAGAAAAACCTAATATGGTCTTACCACCTTCATTAGTCTCTCCAAAGCCATAGCCACCATGAATGCTTTTAAAATCATCTACATCTCTACCAACATCCGTTTAAATCTCCTCTAATTAAAATTCTTTCTTTGAGATGTATCTTTTGTATTAATTCTCCTAAATCATTCCAAAATTTTAATTTTGAACACATATACAAACCTACTTGAGAAGCATAAGCACTTATAATATTAAAAATCTTAGCATCAACAACAATCTTTTAAAGTTATAATTCTATCTCTAATTCTATCAATTTTTATAATATTATCCTTCAAACTATTATCTATAATCATACCTACACCATTTCTATCACGACCCTTACCACAATACCATAGCTAAAATCCTAAACTATCAATCTTTTTAGCCCTTTCTTCAACCCATTTAGTTTCTTGAATGCATAGAATATTTATCTTCATATGAATCATAATATATATTAATTCCATTAAGTTGTTTGTAAGGGACCATATATTCCAAGTTTCTTATCTTAATTTTAATTTCAAGGACTAGCTTCTTTGTCCACATCCGTCCATGATGTGGGAACTCTTACCTATTTAACACTGCACCTGGGCGCCGGTGCAGCGGCCCTTGCTCACTTGCCGTTGTATTCAGGCCATACAACACGTCGCTTTCAGGGAATGTTGTAGCATTAACACAATATATTAAAGGATTTATATCATGATTATTTGACAAGTTTTGTGTTGGTTGTCGACTACCTAACGCAACCCTTCATTTTTCTCATCCAGGACTTGGGACCTGACATATATCATTTATATGCAATTAAAATAAATTGATCATCCTCATCACAAAACCATCATTTCCCAACTCTTGCCACTTCTTTTCTCAGACCAAAGGCATACACTTCGCCACCGCTAACAATCACTCCAACATTGCCCACCACCACCCAAATTACCTTTGCCTCTCCAGCATTCTTGAGTAATTGTTAAGCCTGTTAAAAGAGTTTTTTTCTTTTTCATTATTGATAAGCAAAGCATACTTAGGAACATAATTAGAAAAGACAAAGTTCCTATGTAATGGGCAATAAGGCTCTTTTTGCTTGGCAACTACGTTTTTTTTTTTTTTTTTTTGTTTTTTTTTTTTTTTTTTTGGCTTCATTTCCTGGCATGTTGTTGCATCCAAAATTTGTTATATATACATATATGCATACATACACAGTTAGCTCATGTGCAAAACTCTATGCTTATGGTATCGAAGATCTTCATTATTTGGCTGTACTCTTTATCTGAAAAGTTCATTTGCTATTAAAAATTTTTATGTAGTATCATTATAATGTTCAAAGCTACTCGCATAGTTAATCTAGAAAACCCTAGACTTCATGTATTTATAGTTTAATATTAATATTTGTGATGTATTCATCAAAGAATATGACTATTATGAGTTATATATGCTTGGCCGAGATAATAAAAATCTATTTTTCCTTAATGGGCTTGTAAATTTTTTCACCTACAATTATACTGAAGCATCTAATAATTTGATTTGTTGATTTTTTTTTTTCATAAGGTTCTATAAAATGTCTTCTAGTGGAAGATAAGATCACATGAGGAAATCCATAAAATCTATCTTCTCCAAACAAAAGAAGACATTCTGCCACCACTACCACATGTACCAAACCACTAATTCCAAGTCCACATGTCTACCCCTCGCTACTAGCTGCACAAATCTCACTATTAAATCTATATCCTTACTCCCCCACCCCCACCATCTCATTATGTTGGATTATATAGGTATCTTAATCCCGCTTACGACCCCACCACAACCTGTGTGACCAAGCACCTCCACAAACTACAACATAAGAGTGTGTGCCTACTACACCTATGCATGAACACAAATAATTCACTGAACTTGACGATGAAACGTAAGACCTTAATGTGATTGACTTTACACAATTAATTATTTTTGGTATAGTTTTTTTATTTTTTAAAGATTTATTATAAAAGTTTAACCCACCTCAACAGCCAACAATGAATAGAGAAATTATAAGGAGCAAATTTGGTGCTCCTTCGGCATCTTGGAAAAAAAAATCTTCAAAGTATTTGTTATCTTTAGTTTCATGAATTTAAAGTAATTTAATATTTTTATAAAATATTCTTCCAGTCATGTATTTTGTATTTTTTATCCTAAAATTTCATAACTTAATAATAATAATAAATTATGCTTTGAATTGAAAAAGAGCTTCTATTGAGTTCCCCGACATCATGATCAGATCAAAAGGAAACTTGAGCGATATATCGCATGTGGATCGGAATGGGTTACTATCAGATGAGGAAGTCTAGAGTATTTGAAGAAGGATAAAATAAACAAAATCATGATTCTACAGTGAACGCATAGACAACTCTCCATACTACCAGTTCAGTTCCAAGCACAAAATATAGGAGGGTAAGTATAAATTTATATATGCATTTTTACTCTTATATTTTTTGTTAATTTATTTTATATTATCAGTGAAGTTGAAGCAGGGAAGAGAGCCTACCACCACAGAATTGCATAGCGAAAACCACTTTGACGAGCCCAATCAATTATGATGTTTATTAGCTCTAAGGAGAAATTATTATCATTGAATGTTGTAGCGCCCACCCCATTTCAGTCTTCCTGTTATGTCATGATAGCTCATGGGAGTCAATGGATGGAAGGGGGGATGAGGCAATATAGGCTCATGCCGGATATTTCTCGAGAAGGAATGGCAACCCACAGATTGTTGAGGTGGAGAATACAGTTCTTGCTTTATTGAAGGGTAACAACCCATATATTGTAGAGGTGGATGCTAAAATTTTTATTTAGTAGGTTTAAAATTTATAAAAAAAAAAAAACTATTTCAATATGTAACTTCCTTTCTTAATAGGATATATTTATTTCTTCTTTTATTTTTCTCATTGTAAACCTGTGCTTAAGGGGCCAAACTTCGGCAAATAAGGGACATGGATTATTCCACTTTTCTTCCTCCATATTTCTCGTCTACTTCTTTCTGACATGGTATAAAGATAAGCTTTGTTTAAGCGATTGCCGATACCTATAAGAGAGCCCTAATCCAGTCAAACAAAGGAAAAAAAAATCTAATATCTCCTCTCTTCATCAAGTCATACCATCATTCCAAGAGTTTAAATGGAGCACTCACAGCTTCAAATCACTTCCAATAAACTAAATTGGAAGAACTTACATTAGTCCAGCTTATTTCAACTGTTATTCCATGGAAAAGGGAAGTTTGGATACCTAAATGGTATCATCCATCAATCTAAAATAATTGAACTTTGCACATCATGGGATACCAACAATGTCGTGGTAATGTTTTGGCTTATCAATTCCATGGAAGAACACATTGGATCCTTGTACTTGATATTCAACACCAAGCAAACAATCTTAGAGAAAGTCAACATGTCGTACTCTGATATTAAAAATTTCACTCTTGTGTGAATTACAAGATTAAGCTCATGACCTAAAGCAAGAAGCATGAAATGTCAAAATATTTCACCACTCTCATAAGAATTTGGCAAGAATAAGCTATTTTTGAGCCAAATGATTAGTGAGAGAACTATGCAGGTAAATGCATCAAACTTGTGGAGAAAATAATAACTTATGATTTTCTTGTATGTCTCAATAAAGATCTAGATGAGATGCATGGAAGAATGCATCCACTTCCCAAGATTGAAGAAGCATTTGCAAAAATCTGCTGAAATCCAAAGTGAAGATAGCAAACAAAGAATTATGCTTGGAGGTACCAAAAACACTCTCATAACTAAAAAATCCACTCTTGAATCAAAAGTTTGATGCAAAACCGAAGGCATAAAAACAAAAGTAACATTTAGTATGATGTCTGTAAAAAAAATGATCACATAAAAAATTTATTAGAAACTTCACAGCAAACAAACAAATCAGAACAATCAAGACGATCATCACAAAGACACTCATGCTTATCAAACTAATTGCGGACAATGAAAACATTAGTGCTATTTCCTTTTTAAAAAAAGGTGATTAAATTAATGGATCTCTATCCCCCTATTACTGTCGGACCCATTAGAATTAACTTTCTATCTTACATAAGCCAAATCTCTCTTACAACCTCCTATATATAAGGAAGATAACAAAAGATCGCAATTGGAAAATCACATTCTTATCATAATCATGTAAATTTCAACACGAGATCAAGGAAGAGAATTGGCAATAAAGATTTCAAATAAAATAGAATAATGATGTCTTGCTATCAACAAAGATCATTCTACTCTCAAAAAAGGCGATTAAATTTTATTATGGAATTCATAGTTTAAAATCGCCTCTGCGCAATTTGCCCCCCAAGAGCCTCATTGCTTAAGCAATTTTGGGACTTGGTGAGGCTTACGCCTCATGGAACTTGAGGCGCGCCTCAGAGGCGCAATTGCGCAATTTTTGCTGAGGCGTACGCCTCATGAAACATACTGTATATGCTGGTATCGAGGGTTCGAACAGGGGGAGACAAGTAATGACATGTTCATTCTCCTGAAAGACTGCTCATTGCATGAATCGTCATTTATTATGGGATTTAAGAAGACTTTGATGCATGCAATTTCACATCAAAGTCACAATACAAGCAATCTAACCATTGTTTTGGGCATGCATTAAAGAGGGAGGGGGGGGGGGCAATTTCCCAAAAAAAAAAAAACTCGAAAGGAATTTGTAAGCATATCTTCATACAGTATATTGATTTTTCATAATGTATATAAATAGTAAAGTGATTAATTGAATCTAAATATAAAAATCAGCTCAAGCAAAGTTAAAGTTAGGCCCCATTTTAAATATTTCTTGCTTTGCCACTGGAGAAAGTGTTATGCCTATTAATCTAAAGGTCTTATTAGGATGAAAATACTTTTTTTGCAAGTTAATGTGGGCATTATTATTTTTTCTTTTGAAAATAAAATCAAATGTAAGGCTTTTTTTATAGCTACTGTACTCTAATATATTTGACTATAAGAAATTACTTCCCACCACCAATATTTTAAAAAAGGTAACAAAATAAACAATAGCGAAACAGCGAGTGGCATGGATATGAAATACAAAGTAGTAAAAATGCCATCCCAAACGGACCCTAAGAGATAAGTGTGTAAAATTGAAGATAATGAAGATTTAACATTCATAGATACAATTGGAGATGAAGATGCCTCCGTTGAAGACCCATGTAGTGATGGGACATGATTGAATTTTAGATGTTTTTTCTTATTTGTACTTTGGGAATTCTAATAGACTTTAATTTGTAGTTTTGTACTTTGAATTATGCTATGAGATGCATATATTGCATTTATTTTTTTGTTTTCCAGTAAGTTCACTTTTCTTTTAGATGTTTTTATTATATCATAAACTCTTACTGTTATTTATTTGCTAGAATATTTAAATTCTCATTTACACAATTCTTCGTTCGTGAGGCTTACGCCTCACACCGCCTCGAGGCTTACGCCTCGCCTCATGGACGAAAAATGCCTCGAGACTTATTTACGCAATTTTAAACCTTGATGGCATTATAGGTTAGTTCATCCTAATTTTTCTTACCTTAAGAAATTATTTCCTATTTTATCTTATAATAAAGATATTTTTCAATGTGAAATATGTCAACTTGCCAAACACTAAAGAGCTAACTTTAAACCTAAATCATATAAACCCACCAAACCTTTTCACTTGTGCATAATGATATTTGGGGTACATCCAGATCTCAAAATCTTAATATGATTTAGGAAAAGTCTTAGGTGAACAAGCATATTAAGGAGGTATAGTTTCATTAATTTTACTGATGTAAATATAAAATATTAACAAGCATATTAAGGAAGTATAGTTTCATTAATTTTACTCGTGTAAATATAAAATTTACGCAACCTATTTGGGTATAATGCTAATACTGAGAAGATTAAGGTAAAATAAACAATAAAAAATTTTATTGTTGTGGTTGATAGTCCAACTCTTAACTAAACAAGTATATTTTCTTGTATGTGCTAGCCTTTGATCAATAACATATATTAGTGATTGAATTCAAGATTTAATGTTTGAGCTCTTAACCTTTCAAGTTACTACCCTATGATACTATATTAATTGCACAAGTTGTAATTCAAAGTAAGTTGTGATTGTTATGAAAAACATCTATTGATATTAAACCATTGTGGTCTTAGTTTTATTTGTTTCAAAGAAAAATTTGACATTGTCAAGATTTCCTTGGTTTTAATGCACCTTGTAGTGTTTTGAAGAAGATCATAAATCATCATCTAAGATGCACGGACACAACGACATGGACACGACACGACACGGACATGGGACACGACTTGTTTTGAAAATATAGGCATGGTTTAAAATTGTACAACAAGAGGCACGCTTCAGTGCAATTCAGCCCTTTTACGCATCAAGGCGGGCGCTTCGGACGTGTTTAAGCGAGGCGTATGCCTCAAATAAACAGAGGCGCACCTCAAGGTGTTCGCCTCGCCTCACTTCAACAAGGCATTCGCTTCTAAATAGGCTTATATAAAAAATTAAAACATAAACCTAATATTGTCTTTCTCATTTCGTTCATGTTATTCGACTTCGCCTGCCCTACATGCACTTCGACTTCGGCTGCGTTAGTACTCTATGACTTCACCTGCGTTCGTGTTCTTCTACTTCGCTTGCGTTCCTACTCTTTAACTTTGGTTGCCTTCCTCTTCGATTTCAGTTGTGTTTCTCTTTGACTTGTTTCTCTTTGACTTCGCCTAAGCACTGCAGGTAAAGTTTCGAATGTTGGCTAAAAGCTTCATTGCCTTCTTCGACGACTTTCTAAAAGCTTCATGGCCTTCTTCTTTGAACGTTTGTAGGTGGAGTCGCAGTAGAGCTTGCTTCAAACGTGCCCTATAGAATCAAATCAGAAGTCAGGAAGGTTCGACGCTCTCTACGGTAGTTTCTCCCATTTTTTCGTTTTTAATCTTGTTCAAGTATGTTGATATTCACCTGCTTTATTGAGAGATTTTTAATTTTTGATAGAGTTTTTTTGTTATGATTTTGATTTGATTATGCTTATCATCGGCAAGCTTCCCATAGACTTTCTCATTCTAATTATATTTTTGTAACGAAAGGATTTGAATGTTTTGTAAGGTTTCAGTAACTTTTAGGATTTTCTCGATATTTTACTTGTTTTCTTGTTTATAATTTTTAATTGTTTTCGTTGACAATGGCCTCTTTGGTTGTGATTCCTCAGCTAGGATAATCTTGCACTTCATAGGACACATGAGAGTGATATTTATGGATGAGAAAGTGGATACATATAAAAATTCTTGTCCTCTTGGAAAGTTTAGATATTTACGATATGTTTATTGTGGTTATCGCTAATGCATTCATGCGCTAATTATGTGAGAGTTTCAATATTATGTAAAAATTGAATGCTTTATTGTAGGTCGGAAATAGAGATAAAACTACATCGGGTCATAGATAGGATCTGACATGAAAACATATCACTCAAGTGGACGTGGGAGGCAGTGACAAATCAAGTGCATATCTGAAATGTAATTACTATGACAAAGGAGTGAAAGGAAGTGTGATTAGGATGAAGGAGCACCTTTCCGAGTCCCATAAGAATGTTGCACCATGTGCAAAAGTACCTGATACAGTCAGGGAGGAGATAAAAACATACATGAATAAGTCTATCATGTCAAAGCATCTTGCACAAAAGCAGTTTGAGGACAGAGTTGATGTTGGCTCTTACTACAAGAGTGAGCGTAGCGGTCGGAATTCATCTTCTTCATTGCAGCCCATATCATCTATGGGTGCAAGGGGTCCCATGGATCATTACATGGTGCAAAAATCATAGGATGAGCCTCCTACTGCACAGAGGATGACCCCAGAGAATGCTAGGGAGGCACAAAAAGAGTATTTATAGATATAGGCAGATTCTTATAAGCTAGGGAGGCACAAAAAGAGTATTTATAGATATAGACAGATTCTTATATGAAAATGCAATCTCATTTAATGTTTCAATATCACCTGCTTACTACAACATGATTCGGTCAGTTGGAGCATATGGGAGAGGGTTCAAACCTCCAACTATGTATGATTTGATAATGTGAATTTTGAAAGAATAGGGTAATATTGAAAAAAACATTGAGGAAATTAAGAGGATTTGGACCCAAACAGGTGTAACTATTATGTCAGATAATTAGTCGGACATGAAGAATTGAAATTTAATAAACTACTGATTAATAATCCTTACAGCATTGTATTTTTGAAGTCAATTGAGGCATCTAATCAGGTCAAGGATGATGAGTTCATCATTGGATTATTAGACTGTGTTGTTGAGGAGGTTGGAGAGCATTTAGTAGTCCAATTGATAACAGAACATCAGTGCTTACAAGGTTGCAGTGAATAAACTTATGAAGAAGAGAAAATATTTGTATTGGACTGCATGTGCCGCATATTGCATAGATCTCATTATTGAGAAGCTTGGAGAGCTACCTCAACACAAGAATACGCTGACCAAAGCAAAGAAAATAACTAAATTTATTTACAACCATTCTTGGATTTTGATACTTATGAGAAAATTTTCAAAAAAAGAAATTATGAGGCTTGCAACAAGATTTGTCACCGTTTATTTGATATTACATAATATGTTGGATGCTAAACAACTTTTGGAGTTTATGTTTACCTCAACACAATGGTTAAGTTGTGCATAGGCAAAGAAACATGAGAGGAAAAAGATTAGAAAGTTTGTTTTAAATGGCAGATTTTGGCAAAGTCTCTTGTATGCAATCACGACCACTCGACCATTAGTAAACGTTTTAAGGATGGTGGATGCAGAGAAGAAGTCTGCTATGAGTTTCATCTACAATGCTATGGATGAAACAAAAGAAATGATTGCCCGTAACTTAGGGGGCGAAGAGGGAAGCTATTGGGAAATTTGAAATATTATTAATGATAGGTGAGAGCTACAACTTCATCGACACTTGCATACAGCTGGCTATTATTTAAGCCCTCAATATCAATATGCAGAGAATAAGTCTACAAATCCTGAGATGAAATTAGGATTGTATCATTGAATGAATTGACTCATAGCTGATGCAACTGAAAGATCAAATACTAACATGCAATTAATACCTTTTAGGAATAAAGAATGTTTTTTTGGATTACAACAGGCAAAGGTTGATTGTTACATACTATTGTCGCCGACGCAAATTTCATTATTTTTTATTGTGTTAAGTACAACATCAATTTTTCAACCCTCTCTCTCTCTCCCTCTCTCTCTCACTCTCTCTCTCACAGAAAACCCAAGGCAGTCAAAATACAATAATATTTGAAAAACCTTTAATGAAATAACCATAAATATTTATATTTTTAGGGGCTCTACCCTCAAATCCGCAAGTGGGGAGCTCCATGCTCCCCTTTGAATCCTATGCTGACCTTAACACAGAGGTATGTATAGAGTATTTTCTTTGTAGGAAAATTTTAGGCACCACAACTTAACACGACATACTTTCTTGCTCAAACTCTATCTCCTTCCCATCTACTTACTGCACTTGTATCAATTTTGTTTCTCCTCTTTAACCAGCATTTCTCATCCTCATGCTCATTAACAACACCCCACTCCCCCTTTCCAGAACTCTCATTCCCTCTTGAGATCTATCTATGGCCTCTCTCTTAATTTCTTTACTCAGAAAATCTTCTCTCAATTGTCTTACTGTTTTTCTTTTGCATTTTCTTTCTTCTTATTCTTCAATCGATTGCATTCACAAAAGAAATCAAGAATTATTAATTTCTAAGCTCACATTACATCACTAGGTCTCTACTTAAGGAGAAAAAAAGACATACCTTGCCATCATATTCCTTCTTGAGTAAAATTTCTGGAGCAATATATGCAGGAGTGCCAACTGTGGATTTTGGTTGTGAGTGTAATACTGCAGACTGAAAAAGCAACATAAATTATTAATGCAACTAAAGTGCCAAGCATCTTCCAAGCAGAAGGGAAACAAACATGAAAATCAATTTGCAGCAACAGAAATTAAATCTCACACTGAAATCATTATTAATACTTTGTCAGAATTCCAAATTCTGCTTAAACTACAACATCGCATACATGAAATTCATAATTTTTCACAAGCGAGGAAACAAATGCATTTTTCATTTCATGAGACAGTATCCTGAATTATTATTAAAATCAAAATTGCATGGCCAATGATGAGAAAGAATGAATGGAAAATAAGAATTCATAAAGCTGGCCACAAATAATTGGGATACATCTAATGATGATGATGACAACAAAACTTATGTGGCTCACAAATTCAAAAATCAGTAATTAGTTAATCACTACATAAACTGATGCATACCTTAGAGTAGCCAAAATCACATATCTTTAACCGTGGAGCAGCACTTCCATCTAAAAGGGTATTCTCTAGTTTTAAATCCCGGTGGCACACTTGCTTGACAAGAGGTAAAACCAAAAGGCATAATCAATTATTCTCAGCATTTAGTTTAAACAAAGCAAAAGAAAACGAAAATCCAAGAGAAATACCATGGAGTGGCAATAGCTGACTCCAGATATGAGTTGTTGAAAGAAGAAGCGGGCCTACAAGCGATACAAAGTATCAGTATATATCGCCTAAGGAAAGAAGCGACCAGAAACCCAATTGAATAGAAACCTCATCCTCGCTGAAGCGTCCAGCATTGCAAATGCGCTCGAAGAGTTCACCACCAGAAGCATATTCCATGACAATAGCCAGATGTGTTGGTGTCAAGATAACCTGTATAATGGTTCCCTCAGAAGAACAAGATAACAGAAATCACTAACTTCTTCCTTTAAAAGATGTGATAATAAACGTCAGACGCACCTCTTTAAACCTAACAATGTTTGGATGCCTCAGAGATCTGTGATTAATGATTTCCCTTCGGACATTTTCATCTATCTGCACTATCAAAAGAAACGAAGTAATACAAGATAGGCCAATTAGCTGATGGAGACACATTCAATAAGCTTTGTCTAACAATTAATTGAAGGAAGACAATTTTTTTCAGAGAACAAAAGACCAAACAGACTAAAGATAACACAGAAATTTACAATTCCAAACCCATGCATTTGCCAATCGGTAGATAAACAGAGAATTTTCAAAAAGAAAAAGGCTGCAATTACTTCAGGTTTTCAAAACAAGATTTACTATCAATAAGAAGCAAAGAAAGTTAGAAACGCCAATCAATTATCAAGCCCCTCTTTCCGATGATGAATTAATTAAGAAAATATATAATTGAGCCAATTCACTATCAACTTTCCCGAAAAGGCAAGCGTACCACACTTGGAAATCAAATAAGTTCTTTGCCTGACAACTATTCCAAAATAAATTCAAATAAATATCCTGTCTTTACTGCAAAGCACATCGCCAAAAGTCTCCATTGAAACAAAATCCAAACTAGAAACTTCATAAAGTCCGAGGACGACAACTGAAAAAGCAATAGAAATAAATAATCATAATAATATTAATAATTCTACTAATAATAATAACTAAAAATAGCAAGAGGACCCATCAAACTCTTCAAACTAATTGATCAACTCACTAACCAACCTTCTCGCCCCTCTCTATGTACTTGACCGCCACTAGCTCCATGGTCTGCTTATCTCTCATTAGCCGCGCGATCCCGAAGTTTCCAGCACCAATATCCCTCACCAGCTCGTATCGATCGCTGTCATGCATTATCGGCATATCCATCCCCGGCCCAACGGTTACCGCCGCCCGATCCATGATAACTGCCTCTCCTTTCCTCTCTTCCCGCTCACATCAACTCCGCGACCCAGAAATACTTCTGCCTCCGTCACACGGACGTATAACAAAGCCTTCTTCAACGCGATGCAACAGTTCCCTTCCAAATCGATCGCTCTTTTATGCAAGTCTGACCAAGAGAGAGACGGAAATAGCCCTTGAACTCGCTTCCTATTCCAGGGATCTCTCTACCCCACCTTGCTCCTAATCGCTCTCCATGCTTTCCAGGCTCCAGATGTTTTCCGACTGAGACTTGCAGAAATGGATATAGCACTCTAGTGACCTCGTCGCTTCTACCTCTCTGTTCACCACTAGCAAACCCAGAGAGAGAGAGAGGAACGGAAGCGGAGACAGCGAAAGTATATACTATTATCTATAGAAAGTGACATATGGAAATTTACGACTCCGCCCCTACGACCAAATCCGCACGCGACTCTTGATCGATCATTCCGATTAACGCAGAGATCTGAGCGTCTCCAATCGATCGGACGGTAAGATATAAAATAAGAACATACACAGCTATATATATATATATATATATATATATATATGAGCTCAAAAAGAGAGATATTATGGAAATTTTATTGTTAAAAGATAATAAAAATAAAATGAGTTACATGTGGATGATTGATAATCAGAGCTTCATCTTTTAAGTTTGGAATCTTTGATTGATATCATTCGACCACCAACTTATTAAAAGAGGTTATTGACTTATTGGGTCGAGCTGCTACTTCAGCAAATATGTCAAAGCCACTAACTTGTTGGATGAAGTCATCTCTCTAAGAAGCTGACCTATTGTGTGAATGGCTTGGCTGGACTTACTAGATTATTGATTTTTCTATAAAAAAAAATTCTCATAAAAAAAATTACTGAAAATGAATGAAGTTGAAACATAACATAAGAAGAGAAAGATCTAGAATAAGAAAGAATAGGTGAGAATGGAGAGAGAGTATAAACAATAAGTGAAAATGGAGTTCTTTCTTATATAATCACTGTGTTCTTTCTGAAATAAGGCCCCCTTTGTAGCTTGGACTATAATTGCATTTATCTCTTGCTTAGTGTTATCAGTGTAATCTAATTTTTCCATCATAGTGATGCTTGCCCCATCGATTGTATAATAGACATAGGTTATTTGATTGAATCACTAACATCTTCGGCGTCCTTTCCCATTGATTGTTTGATTTTTTTTTCTTTTATCTTTCTTTGTAGTGTTTCATTGTTTGCATCCTTTTTTTTCTCCACATCGAGTATCCAACATAAGCGATGCATTTTCATCTCTCTCTCTCTACAAATCGTTGATGTGTGTTCTCCTCATTGCCACCTTAATTAGGTGATTTTGTAACCATAGTTCGAAATTCGACGAATTCAAAATGAATCAAGGTATGTTTTTCTTCCGATTAAAGATTGTGAAAATCATCTTGTTTAAGATCTTGAGGATTTAAGACTTATGTAAAATCAAGTTTTTTTCGTTTCGAATTCTTTTACATAAATTATGATGCGAGTTTATGCAAAGAGTTAGAGAACTCTATTAAGTCTTACATATTGGTTCTAAAAGAAAGAAAATCATTTGCTTACTTCTCAAAGTTGGATTCATTCTCAAAGTGGATAGCAATGGTTGTGTCGTTCATCTTAGTTTGTCAAAGCTTCTATAGAACTCAAGTGATATTTCTCATAAGAAAATATCAATTTTGAGATTTTTCCATGATATTCATCTCACTGTAGTAAGTACAAGCTCCATGAGGCACCTCATGAAATGTTGTGGATAAAATATTGATACTTTTATTATGTCTATTAGAACTAAATATAATTTTGTTTATAAATTATATTGACTCTCTCAATTTAATTATGAAATACAACCAAAATTTATTATTTTTAGTCAATATTTATAAATAATATTAGATAAATTTGAATATTTATGCCTTTGACACTCATAAGTAAAGTGCCTCTATATCTTGAATTCCATCTACTCTCTTGTGCTAATCCTTATATGATAGGAGTTATACATTTGTTATGTATATAATTAATTATTGTTTTCAACCCCAAGGTACATGAAAGACTAGAAGACTTGTTTGGTTTATTAATTTTAAGTAAATCATATAATGGAATTATAATCTCTTATAGATGATTTAGTAATGAAGCATATATGAACCCAACGTCTTTTGCTTCAAGTAAGTCCACAATATCACCTTCATCAATTCTTAAATTAGCGTTAGATACATTAATAGAATGTGTTTAGCTTTCTACCCTTGCTTCATATCTCATTGGTCGTCGCATATTTTATGCCTGCAATAATGCTTTTATCATGCCTATACTTGTTGGGTAAAAGATGCAAGCAATTTGGTGTTATAAAGCCCAAGGCCAGTATCGTGTGTGATGACCTCAAATTTATTTTTTTTCTAAATTCTTAAAAATTTGTTGAGAGAGTGTTGTAGCATTATGATTATTGGGCGTTGTGGCACAAATCTCTCAAGTTTTTTTGAAAATTTAAGGGAGTGTTCTTGCGTTGGATTTGAACCTTTTTTTTTAAATATCTAAATCTATTGTAATAACCTGTATTTTGGCTTTGCTAATTTTTTTTTCGAGTCATTATAACTCTAAATCGCAAATCATTTTACCCATGGTATTTTGATTGAAGTATTTTACTTACACAATTTTTTTCATAATTTTCGAGCATCAGTGAAAATCCTAAATGAATTTGTATATATAGGTACAAGTTATGATTTTGGGACCGTTAGATGTCCGTTTTACAAACCGATTTCATCAATATTTTTTTACATATTATGATTTATTTTATAAATATTTTTCTATATTTTTTTATCCCTAAAATGATTTATTTGAATTTTATATTAAAAAAACTTGTTTAAATTAACTATATAATATTAAATTCTTGTTTTAATAAAATATCTTAAAATATCTCATTCCATTAGTTTGATTTTATTCTCAATTTCCCTAATTCGGCAAACAGATAGCATTTGAGAGGTTTTGTGAGAGAAAGAGAGGAGAGAGAAAAGAGAAGTTCACATTTAAAGATCGCGATGCTATTTTTGTCTGTCGAGTCTGTTGGGATAATTGCTCATCTCGTTGTAAGGATTCATATCCTATTTATGATTTCAAATATTTTGTGTTTTTGGTATTTTTCCGCTCAAATGTGTGTTTCCGTTAACAAAAAATGTGAATAACTTTGTATTGGCAAAACTTTCACCTAATAACTTTTTGTATATTATAGAGATTGTGATTATGAGCATTTTGAGTATTTATTTGGGATTTTTCACGGGTGATTTTGAAAATACAATAATTTTTGTCTACTCCAAAATTTATTTTGACCTCTAAAAATAATAGTGTAGTATAATAAAAGTCTTAGAATGTCATTTTATACAATCCCTGATAATTTGATAACTTTCTGAAAATTTTCATTTTTGCTTAATAGGATTCTTTTATTTCTTTGTTGTATATCGTTATGACATTTTGACATCTTCTTAATTAAGCTCAATTATACAGTATTTGATGCAATGCATTAAAAATGGATGTATATATGTGTTTGAGTAATAGCTGGTCACTATTACTATTATAGTATTATGATAATAATATGTGTATGTAAAACAAATAAGTAAATAATGGTTAACCCGTTGATTGGAGACTGATTGACCAATATATGATGGTGGGCTGACAGGCTTTATTTTAAATACTATGATTTTGTGTTATCCTTTACTAATTCATATGATAAACTGATTGAAAGTTATAAGGATGTTATTATTGTGTCAACGGGCAAAGAGTGACAGCTCTATTTACCGAGTCAACATTTTACTAATATTGAAAAACGTCGTGATAGCCATAACTTCTTACTTGTTTAGTTTAACTAATGAAATACATGTTCTTGAGGCATTATTCTTATTATTGAACATATTTATTATTATTGTACGAATTTATTATTATTGTATTATTCTACTACTAATGCCACTGGATTGTTACTGATATAGATACTGATATTATTTGATACTACTGATTCACTATACTGATATTAAGAATGTGATATGTTGAGCACGTGATATAGACTATTTGGATAACATGTGTACATTCCTATATGAGTTTACTATATTGATTTGATTTCGACAGTCTTTACTGATATTTTGATTTAATATTTTTATATAATTTATGTACTGATTAGTGTTACAGCGATAATTGCATATATTTGACACTCGTGATAATTTTCAGCTTTACTAGCTTTCGTAATATAGTGTTTTACTGACTATATATTCTACTACTATTGCATGTGAATTTTATTATTTCTGCATTGATTCAATGATCATTTGAAATTACTATGATTTGATTGTTGACAAGCATATTACTATTTTACCGTGCTTTGAACTCAATTATAGGTTTTGATGACATGCTGAACTATTTAAGCTCATTATATGTGGCTAAATGATTTTAAGACAGGACAGGGGAGCAAGAGTGTGAGGTTGGTCAAGATTCTTCATGTTTTTTTTTTTTTTTTATAGTCCTAAGTAGTGTATATGATTTTTTGAAATAAATATATATGTATACATTGATGTTTTAAATTATAGAATATATTTTACTATTTATTACTGATAGATAATATCATATAGCTCTAATTGTTACTTATTAAAAGGATAAATGAATAATTCTTTCAATTTAGATTCTAGGGTGTCACATCTACTATCCTATTAAATATGCCATAAATCATCTAAAACCACCATTTCATGTTTGCATGGCCAAGAAGGAGAAAAGGGAGAAGGAGAGAGATATATTGGTATGGAGTATTTTCATCTGTCGCTCTAGTTGTGAAAAGTATTATGTTCGTGGTAGGTATCTTTAACCATATATATATTTTTTATGATTTTATATGTTGCCTATTTTCCCCCTCCTAAAATTGATTAAAAAATATAATCTATCACATTTTAATGAATTTTCATAATGTGACTTTTTATATGTGATTGATATCATCATTCTAAATATTTTGATAGGTTTGTAATGAAATTTCACCGATTGATTTGTATATATGTTATTTTGATTGAACTGAATAGAAAAATACTAAGTATAAAATGATAAGGAATATGTATATTGCTCATTGATATAAGAAATATGATATATATATATATATATATATATATACTTTGCAATAAAACTAATATGATTGAAATTGATTCGTATTCGATATAAAGAACCTGTAGAACTTGATCTAGGAAAAATACCTTAGTCAGATGTCTTAGCTTGCTTAAATATGCTTATAATATAAGCATAATTGATAAAATGCATAAGTGATATAATATAATGTGATATGAACATAATACTGATATAAAATATATTAAAAGATTAATAAATTGATACAAGACAATATGATGTAAAAAATTACATGATCTACTTGCAGTATAGTATATAATTGAAATATATAATATACATGCATTAATACTTTATATTGTTCACCATGCATAATTGCATATAACAAATGTTCATGGGCTTGATATGATAGATATATTGGTGTACATGAAGTGACACATAGATTGAAGTAAAAAAAATCATTTATTGGCATACATAGATTCATAACATAACTGTTATATTGTAACTTAGCATGAGTATGTGAATGATATGATGTACTGGTCATCTATATGGCTACTAATTATTGGATCTGAATTATATTACTTTTATTTATTTCTATTGTTCATATGAAATAATACCGCTACATGATTTTATAGTTACATATTTATATTGATTTGGATTGAATGATTATATACGTGCTGCTTCCATTATCTTTTATTGATTGTAATTGTTGGTCTTGATAACAAATTAAGTTCTTAACTCACTATGTGGTTTTTATATATTTGTTAGGAAGAGGGCTTGATCCAATAGAGTGAGGCAAATTAGAAGTCAAGTTTAGTTCTATTTTTTGTATTTTGAGTTTATTTTTTTGTAGCCAAGAACAAAGAATTGTAGATTGATGATATATAATGAATTTGTTGTTACTGTACATGAATTTTGAGGACTGAATATATAAATATTTTGATATATATAATTTATAATTATTTTTGCTGGATTTATTTGTATAAATAAAAATTAGTGCCTTTGGTAGAGTAATTAAAGGATAAAATAGATAATTCATTCAAATTTAGATCTTGAGACGTTGCATCGTGAGCCATAAAATTTCATATCTCTAACTTCATGGCTATCACACTACTCATTAAGTTCACTCCGACTCTAGATACTTGAAAAGCGAGTTCACCTAACTTCAATTTGCAAAGTGACAATATTAAGAGTGAGAATGATGGATCATAAGATAACTTTAAGAGGGAGGAAACACTTCAATCAAGCCGATACTCATGGCACATAAAAATTAAATAATTCTTGCAAAGTAAATATACATTTTTTTTTTCATGCATTAATATATGAGTAAATCTTACTTCTTTAATAAAGATAAAGAAAGCAATACAAATCTCTTTATTTCTATCATAAATCAAGAAGAAAACATGCAACCACTTAGTGTCACTGGTGAGGAGGGATGCATATAACATAGGACAAATGCATCAACAATAATTAGATTCTAATTATGTTAGCAAAGCAAGATGCCTAACATTAAGAAAGTGATAAATAGATGAGCTTATAAATATCTTACATATGAAGAAAATTAACACAAGCAATGGCGAGGCTAAGAAATTGAAAGTCAACCTCCATGAATAGTCTCAATAAACCTTTTATTTGAAAGAGTGAACAACATTAAGCATAAGATGCTTTGTACTCAGAGAAGAAAATTTTAATTCAATAATCATCAAACTTATATAACATCATATAATGCCACTATATATAGAAGTGACGGTTGATGGATGGGATATAACGTGTTATGAAGTTTAAAGTGCTTTATGAAATTTCTAAAAGTCTTGAAGCTTTTTCAAGGGAATAACACTTAAGATGTGATTTTAAGACTTATTAATGGTTAGAGCATTGATTGTGAGAGAGAGAGAAAGGAGGGCGACCATGACAAGTAGGGGAGAGAATTGGGTGGGGCTAAGTTGATATGACAATGAATGATGAGGTGGTTGTAAAATATTAATGGTGTGGTTAAAATATTTTTTTAAATGTAAACAAAGATAATAGCTCGATATGTCTTTTTTCATATTAATACTTTTTTCTTAATAAGAAATGCATAATCATAGAGCCATAATTTATTTCCTATTTTCAGAAGCACTCTAAAGCTTCGTTTGGGACAGATTTCTTACTGCTTTCTAATATATATTTTTTTAAATTAGAAATTTTTATACAAGAAATCTGTCCCAAACGAAACCTAAGTTGTCATCTTTTGCTAAGATAATACAGAAGAGTTTTTTTTTCTTATAATAAAATACTATCAAATGTGTTGAAATTTAAAGTATTTTATTAGGAGAGGATGAAGCATGACCTTCCAAGTTCCAAGTGTCATTAGTAGAGTAAGATGAAGGGATTTTTTGACCTTATTAAATATTGGATAAGCATTATTTTTTTAATCCCATTTATTTAAGTTATAGTTCCCCCACTTGATCTCCTGACTTAATTAATTCAATATGAAGTTGATCATCATATTTTATTCAATTGATTAATTAAGCTCAAATTGATTCAAATTTTTATTATGAAGAATTAGATTGAAAAAAAAGTGTACTTTGATGCTTTTTATATAATGAGGAATGACTTGTTTGTAATAAGAAATTTGGTATTATATTTAGATTTTTTTAATAAAATTTGAATGAAATAATAAAATAATTATTTTTATGGGGTTTTAAGTTATTTATAGAATTAATAGTCATATTATTTTTTAATAATACTACAAAATATAATGAATTTATCATATTTAAATCATTTTTAAAATCCAAAAAGCCAAATTATCCCTTGCTTGTAAGTTGTAACCAAATGCACGCAAATGTTATGAAAGGTATTTTCGAAATTTTAAAATAAAATAATAATACATAATTTCAAGAAATTCCACGTGGTTGGCATCCATTCAGTTTTATCTCCATCGAACGGTTTCAGCAACGGCGAATCGTATAACTGCACGCATTTCCCTTAAAAAACTATAGCCGTACTTGAATAAAGTTCACATGAAATATAACTTCTACCGAAAAGACATAATTACCCCTTAGCGTCCACGGCCCCTTTTGCTGTTATCCGAAATCGCTCTAGTCCGTTTCCTTCGTTAAAAAAAACGATCCGCTATATAAGCAGCAAAAGATTACACCGTAACGAATGATGTGGGGGAAGTTGTCGGAAATCTGGTGATGGCGTCCGAGGCGGAGCTCGTGCAGCGGCTGAGGGATTTTCTACGGACCTCCGACCTCTCGACAACCACAGCAGCGATCGTCCGGCGAAAGCTTGAGGAGGACTTCCGCGTTGATCTGACGGACAAGAAGACGTTCATTCGGGAGCAAATCGATATCTTCCTCGGGGAATTACACGAGAATGAAGAGGAGGATGGAGAAGCGGACGACGTGAAGTTGGAGGAAGAGGAAGGAGGGAGCGGCGGCGAGGAGGACGAGGACGAAGAGGTCGAGGAGGACGAGGAGGGCGAGGAGAAAGAGGGGTCGAGTAATGGCGGCAGCGGAAGTGGGAAGAGGAGGTTTGATTTTCTATCTTTTCCTTTATTGTGAGTTTGATTTCTCTTTTTTTCGTTTTATATTTTTGGAATGTTAGAACTGCATTGGCGGAATGGGCGGGTTAGGGCTTTGTTTTTTCCCGTGTTAATTTGGGAATGATGACTGTCCATCTGTCTTAGTTTTAAAAAAAATTAGAGTTTTTGTAGACAATATAGTAGACTGCACGAGCAGTCGAGCACTGACTGGTTTATTTGCTTACATTTTCAAAATAATAGTTTTAATTACGTTTTTCTTTTTAATTCGTTCGAAGCAGAGAATATTCTTGTTGTGAGGGGAAGTATGTACCTTCAAATTTTTTTATATGCGATTGGCTTAAACTGCTAGCAGAAAGCTGGATTAAACTGGGCAACTTATTAGTTCGTTTGCTTATATCCTTTTGGCAGTGACTAATCTAGAAATAGAATGGAGGTTAACTGTTCGGGGATACAGAATCTATTTGCTTCCTCTGCACCCTTCTTGATTTTCTCTGACAACTGTACTGTTTTGTTGAACTTTTTATTTTGTCTTTTTCCCGCCCTTTTTGTAACTTTTGTGGCTTTGACGAGAGCAATGCATTGACACTTGAGAAAAGCCTAGCTTGGACAAATTTTTTGGACAAGTTTCTTTATTTGCAACAATTTTGTTGAAGATAGTTGGGTTGAAAATTATCATAGCTCATTTTCTATTTTGGGGGAAAGTCAAGGGCCACGCTCATTCAATATCATTGATCCAAAAGGAGATGAGAAAAAGCGTATGATAAAACACCAAAAAAGAAAAAAAAAACCTAATCACTCAAGAGTATAGAAGTGAAAAATATACCCCCAAAAACCACAAAACCAAGGGCCGGAGTAAAATACTAAAATGTAATTGGTCATAGGTTCCATCATCAACAAAAGATGATAACTAGCACATAATATTAGGAGCCAAAATTGTAGTATTGGAAAAAATCAAAATGTACCATGTTGAACCTAGGTAAAGAAGCCTCATCCTTACCCAACTAAGAGAAGTAGGTGAATTGGAGAAAGACCGTGCATAACAAAAAATCTTAGGAAGTGGGGAATTTTATCATTCAAAATATAGATATGGGATGTTCGTAGACAACTACTTCTTGAATCTCCACATTCTACTCTTTTGATGAAAGGAAGGATGAATTTTATCATTCAAAATATCCAAAGTAGAACCACCCTCACCCTGGATGATACACCCTTTGCAAATATAGTACGCCAAGATATGAACAATAATCAGAAAAACTTCCTTGAGATATTGCTAGAGAGACTTTCAGCATGAACGAAAGCTTGAAGGAAAGAGCAACCAAAGTGAAAGAAAGCGCCACATTATATGCATTTTTTTAGCAGGGTGAAGGCAAAGGGGCAATTAAAATTTAAATGAGAGTGAAAGTCATAATTTCAATTACCAAAAGCCATGAAGTTTAGAGACTGACATACTCTTTCAACTAGAACTTCATATGTTTTCAATCCTCACATTTGATGATTCCAATTAAAGCAACTAAATTTCAAGGAATTGACTTGAAGTCTAATAAGCTTACTCCACTCAACATTGTCATGATTAATATGGAAACAAGTTATTAGCATTTAAATAGCAAAAGTGATCCTTACCATGCCGATAGTAGGTGGGCCCATTAGACACAATATCAACATGAAAAACATTTTGCAAGGAAGAGCTGTTATCCACAAGGCTGGAATAAGGCAAATTTCAGCTTATGTCAACCTTTAAATTGCAAATTCTAACATTGAAGCACATGAGATCCAAAATTTTCAGTTGAATTAGAGCCATTAAGCCATGTGTCATGGACGAAGGATAAAGGGATGTTAGTACAAATGTGAAATATAATCCATCTATGCATTTGAGTGGTAATAACCTGAATCAATGTCAAAAAAAGGAGACTTTGGTATGATTCTTTATTCAAAGGGAGCCATAAGAGTTCACACACTACACAACAAAGCATAAATTAGTATTAAAAATACTTTAGATCATCTTGAACTTACAAAGTTCATTTAGAATGTCAAGCGAAGGAAGATCCAAGCCCTTTTTTCTTAGGAAATGTTGTAGTGAACCAAGAGATGGTGCAAAGTTTATTCCCTGCATTGTTGTGATGTAGAAAATTGGACACTAGTCTAGTAGTTTTCTCCAACATACATTTAAGAATGATAACAACACTTAACTAATAGAGAAGGTAACTTCAAATAGTAGAACATATTAATTGAAGATGAGCAACAAATGGTAATAGTGTTTACTTCCAACCAGATATTGATGCGGACATGGCACCTTTCCTTTCCCAATTTTAAGATTCCCATTAAAGAAGGCAATGCACCCCAATCATAGCACCCTTCGTTCTACATCAGTTTGGTATCAGAGCATGGTTACACACCAGGGATGTGTACTCGACTAAGTCGAGCTTTTTCCCACCCCGGGAGAATGATGCGGACATCCGACCATGAAAGCTTATCATAGGAGGAGGCGAAGATCGATGGCTATGATCGCACCATTTTATGATTGCACCATTTTATTTTAAGTTATTATTTGTATTTTTATTTATTTATGTATTTTTCGTTTTTACCCTCACTTTAGGGAGTAGGTGCTTGTGACCCAGGGGGGCACTTTTCACTTTTGTTATGTATTTTGGGCTATTTATAGCCTCATCCTTTCTTGTAATGATCAATGGATGAATATTAAGAAGAAATTTTTTACACTTTGTTCTTGAGAGTTATGGGAGTTCTTAGGAGAGTGGAAGTCCCTATGTCAGGGCAACAAAATACCCACCAGCCGAAGGAAGTGTCCGGGCTTGTAGTTTGAAGTCCCTAGGTGAGGGCGTCGTAGCACCCATCAGCCGCAGGAAGCGTCCGGGCTCATGGTTTATCTTTCTTTCTTTTCTACCACCCGTCCTTCTTTCCCCTATCATCGGACAAACTCCCTCTCCTAGCCGCCAACCCAAGACCCCACTTCCCCTCCTTCCACCACCACCGGCCCCCTTCCTCCTTCCCCCTTGAAACCGCCGGTTTACTAATTACTAATCCCCTCCCTCACCCCAATCTAGAATCCCACCACCACTCTCAAGCCCAATCGGCCACCCCTTACAAACCTCCAAACTGCCAAGACTACTCCAAGCTTATCCCCATAGCCGCCGGCCACCTCATCTTCCATTGGCTCCACAAGTTCCCTCTAGCATTCAATGCCCTTCCTATTTTAGCCTTCTTAATTTGGTAATGAATTTGAATTTCAAATTCAAACAAATTTGAATTTGAATTTGTTTCCTAAATAAGATATCCTATTTTAGGAAAGTTACTTAAATTAGATCTAATTAAAATTTCAATTGGATTTGATTTAAATTAATTATTCCTAAGTTAAGATCCCAATCAAAGCAAGCTTTAATTCCCTTTTCCCTAAACCCTACCCCACCTGCTCATGCCGCCGCCCCCTCCTCCTCCCCTCTCTCTCCCACATTAAATTCCTTTCCCCTTGAGGCTTCAATCAATTCCCCACCAAATATTCCCAATCAATTCACTGAAATCAATTGGAATTAATTCCAATTTTAACATTAAATGTATTTGGACACATTCATTGAATGTGGACTACTCCTCCCCCTCCTCTCTCTTTGCTGGCCCCCTTATCCTCTCTCCTATCTCATAAACCTCCAATCAAATCCCCAATCAAGCCCTTGCATAGGCCGGCCCCTCCCTCTCTCTCCAATTAAAATATTCCACCCTCTTCTCTCTTTCTCTCCATTTTTATAATTTCAATTACTTTCCTAAAATAAGCTTGTAGTAGTTTGAGAAGTTTTAATTTAGATTTCAATCAATTTAAATTTGAAAAGAATCTTCCATAAATGAAAGAGTTAAATTAGGGAAAGTTCATTCAATCAATCCAATTTAATTTGACTTTTAAATTTTGAAAGGCCTTTAAATCCTTTCTTAATTTTAAGATTCCCATTAAAGAAGGCAATCAATGCACCCCAATCATGGCACCCTTCATTCTACATAAGATATCCAAGAATGCAATATATTAAAAATATTTAAAGTTCAAACAATCAATTGTCTTAAGCCTGGAAGAAGAAATAGCAATGCTAAAATGCTGAGCTGAGGATGGATCAACAACCTTAGACAAACAAAGATCAAATTTACTATGTTTAACAAGTAACTCGAGCAAAGCATTGAAGAGTGAAGTTAAAATTAATAATATAAGATATATCAATTTTATTGGAAGTGAGAAGGTCATTAGCATGAGACACTTCAGCATTATTGTGAGAAATAGCCTTAAATCCATTTTTAGCATCGTTAGCTTCCAGTATACAAGGGAAAATATCCATGATCACAATCAAAAGAATGGAAAATAGGGGGCATCCTTGGTGGAGATTAGAAGAGGATTGAAAGTATTACTTATGTTCCCTATTAATGACAATCGAGAAGGGAACCTCATTAGTACGACCAATATCTACTTCACAAAGATAATATGGAAGCCCAATTGAATTTGGCTTTGGTAAAGAATCTCATGATTAATATTATGAAGTGCTTTCTGAAGATTAATTTTCACACAAAAGCATTTATGACTTGTAGAAAAACTGGAACCTTGATGGAGCTCATTGGCAAGGGCAATATCTTTGCCATGGACAACGCCTGGCATGGTTAATAATAGAGGGGAAGAGGCATTCAAGTCTATTGGCCAGAAGTTTGGAATATACCCTATATATAGTATTATAGAGAAATAAAATTGAAATCATCCAGTCTCTCAGTGTGAAGATTTTTCAGGATTCAGGTAATAATAGAGTGCTCAATATGGTTAGGAAGCCTAACATTTTGAAAGAATATTGAACTGCTTCAAAAAAAAGGCCAAGTCACGTCCCACATGTATCCACAAAGAATTTTGTACCAAAACCATCTGGACTAATGCGTTTATTCTTGCCAATTGCTAAAAAGAGATGCCTTAATATCATCACTAGAGAATGAAGTCAATGGGAGATTGTAATCAGCATTGGATTGGAGTTAGTAGCTAACAA